AAAACACATTGGATCTAGAGTCTAGACTCTCAAAAACATCGACTAGAAAAAATACTCTTTATCCAATCAGATTTAAGCTTAAAGCAAGAACCAAGCCTCTTAATTTGAGCGGATTTTCTTTTGATTAAAGCTTAAATCTGAACGAATCAAGAGTCATTTTTCTTCTCAATGTTTTCAAGAGTCTGGACTCTAGAGCCAATGTGTTTTTTTTTTTTCCAGTGGAGAATTTGAGGAAAAATCGGTCGTAAAATCAGGATTTGAGAAAAGAGGTTTCTAGAGGTCTGCTCTGCTTTCGCATACGCTTATGCAGAAATTTTAATTTTTTTCCGCAAACAATCAGGATTTGATCAGGTTTTAGAAAAATTATGAAATCAGGATTTAGCAGTCAAAAATCAGGATTTCCCGAAATGAAAAAAAAAAACTGGACTCCTTGTATAAGAAATCATGCAGGGGGCAGGGTGGTTAGCGACCGAGAAAACCGGGACAAGTAAGGGAATGCAACTCGACCTGAGAGAATCAGGGAAAAGTCAGGGAACTTCGTCAACGGTCGAGGAATTTTTTGTAAAGCCAGTTCCCACGTCAAAATCTGGTCCGCCACGGGCCAGCTGCATGATCGCGTTGTTGTGCCAACGCTTTGACCACATTAATTAAGTGTCCTTACGTTATCATAAAAAATTCAGAGATTTTCACATGCAAGGAGAAGCCAGTGGAAAGTCAGAATGCACTCACGGCTCTTTTCCGTTACACAACAGGGCACTATTCTCCATCTCACTCCTAATCGGAACTAATGCATCGATCGGGCTTTGTTCTCGTAATGGATTCGTTTTCATTCATCTTTCGTATGACTGCAGGCAGCTTCTGCTTTCTATCTCTATATCGCGCCTCTTTTGATTTATTTTTTAAGCCCCCTTCCCCTCCTTCCTTTGTGTTGTCATCTAATTGTCGCGGCACTCACTGATTGAAAGCAGGTGCACATTGAAATAATTGTGAACATCGATAGTCGACAGACCAGCAAATCCTCTTAAAGATAGAAGACGCATTTTCGAATAACTAGACATGACCTTGCCCTGTAGCGTATCATATAGCACTCTTAAAATCCTTCGTAGAATTTTTCATGGGCGAAGAGTAGCTTCGAATGAGGCTACAAGTAATGTCAAAGTGAATTGAAGATCCTGTGTGATTGGTAAACGATACCTGCAATCCGCATACGGTCCCCTGTCACCTGTGAAAAATGATCGGTAGAGCGACTTTTATCGAGGTGGGTCGAATGATATGGTGTCAGGATTCCGCTGAATAGGTAATTCGATGCGTATAACCTCAGATAATTTTTTCCAGCCCTGATAGGTCAGGAAAAGTCAAGGAATTTTGGTGCGGAAATTTTTTCTTCCTGTCAAAACATGTTTTCACTTTCAAGACACATCGCGCTTAGAATTGTTCGTAATTAGAATTTGTATTGGAAGCCGTGCTGAAAAACACATAATAACTTGGAAAAAGACTTTATTTTTACCTTCGAAATATCTGATAAGTTGGAGAATTTTTAAATCCAAGAAAACTTTTCACCCTGCAAACAGTGATGATCACGATTTCGCTCATTTTTGCCAGTAACGGCACCGCGAATTGAACTATTTGGAAACGCTGCCTCGCAAGAAAGGTAGTATGAATAACAAATACCATGCCATTTTTACGTACTTTTAAGTAAGATAAATGAAAAGAACTAAGAGAAGATAAAGTGTGTAGCGAGTAATTCCCGCGTGAATAAATTGAATAGTCTCGATTTTATTCAATTTTTAATCATTTTTTTCAAATTTATCAAATTCTCAAACTGCCCCATTTTTGAGGAACTGCAACAACTAAATGCTTTGCACTGGGAAAAATAACACAGTGGATCTAGAGTCCAGACTCTTGAAAACATTGACGAGAAAAAGGACTCTTGATTCAATCAGATTTAAGCTTGAATCAAGAACCAAACCTCTTAATTTGAGCGGATTTCCTTTTGATTTAAGCTTAAATCCGATTGAATCAAAAGTCCTTTTTCTTGTCAATCTTTTCAAGAGTCTGGACTCTAGATCCAATGTGTGTTTTTTTCCAGTGTGAGTGACACATTTTTTAATCACAAGTGGAGAAAGTAGAATGCGGCTTTTTCATCGGCTAGGCGTGGATGCAACTATTCGTGTTCTTGGGATGTCCGTGTTGCATACACGAAAAATTGCAGGCGCTTTTGTTTTCTCATGTATGTACAATGTATGACTGCGGGCTGCGGTTGCTGATTCTCAAGAGTTTGCTACGTTGCATTTGCAATCACGTCTGTCATGAAATCTTCCAAATTCGGATGCAGTAATCACGTTGCAAAATGGTGAAAATTGCAAAAATTCTAGCGGTTGCGGAATTGATATCCGCGCGCCTCGGTGGAAATTTTTTTACTGAAAAATTCGCACAATTTGTCAACGCTACCATGATCTACGCAACCCTTCCGAATTTTTAGGATTTCAAGGTAAACGCGATGTTAAATGCAACGTGCAAATCTCTCGAGAATGATAATCGCAGTCGTGCGTTCGTTCGTGCGTTGTGCTCCGGAAAACCAAAGCGCCTGCAATTTGCGTGTACGCAACACGGACATCCCAGGAACACGAATAGTCCCATCCAGCCTTAGCCATTGAATAAGCCGTAGCGTCTTCCATTTTCTCCGCTTGTGATGCGACAAAATGTATCACTCGTTGCATTCAGACGTCGTCCTCCACGAAAATAGGGCTTTAAGTATTTAATCAGATTGAAAATAATAAATAAGTGTATTATTTAAACTTTGAGGAAATTTAAAAAAAATTGGAGTCGGAAAAGGGCTAAACAAGCCGGTGAATCGTAAAATGAAGAAACAGAGGAAACCCTAGAAATCGTGTCGAAAGAAACTTCAAAAATTCTTGAATTTTCACTAAAAAATCCTGAAAATTGACGAAATTTTGAAGTCTAAGAATACTTGTCACCCTCCCAAAGTACCCGTTGATTAAGTACCGATTTCAAAAATCAGCGCGCTTCTCCACACTGGAAAAAAAACACATTGGATCTAGAGTCCAGACTCTTAAAAACATCGACAAGAAAAAATACTCTTGATTCAATCGGATTTTTGCTTAAATCAAGAACCAAGCCTCTTAATTTGAGCGGATTTCCTTTTGATTTAGGCAAAAATCTAATTGAATCAAGGGTATTTTTTCTTGTCAATGTTTTCAGGAGTCTGGACTCTAGATCAAATGTGTTTTTTTTTCCAGTGCACAGTCGCTCATAAGCTGTGGGAGACATGTTCATCGAAAATTTTCCAGCCGCACTTCGGAATTGCTGACGCCAAGCGCGATCATATTCCGGATCCCTGCCATACCGGATTCTCTTTGTATGTCGTCGGTGCGCGAACCTGATAGTGGAACGCCAGAAGCGGGGCGTGAATGACCGATTATCGATTTTTCCCCATTTGAAGCTTTGATAAAGAATCGATCGTTAAGGTGTTCGATGTAGACACCCTGTTTATCGATCCTTTTCCATAGGTTCAAACGGCAGATCGACGCGGGACGCGTGAGAAAATTCCCGGGAAGTGGGAACAGGTGTCCGTTGCCCGGCGCTCGTGTCCCCGCTCGTCTCCAGGGCGTGCGCGTCTGGAGTCTTCGCGCGTGCCGCCGTCAAACGCACGCCGACTTTTTTCTTTTTTCACGACTCTCGTCGCGTCGGGCCGCACATCAAAGCGCCCGTCCTGTCGCGTCGCCGGCGTCGCATCGTCTCGCTGAAAACGAGCGGCGAGTAGCCAACACCCGCTATGGAGTAACCCGTTCGGCTCCTCGGGGTTGCCGAATCGGGGGGTAAACCGAGTCCCTAAATCGCCTAGACGAGCGAAGTAGAGTACCCAAAGACATAAAGACGGAGAGCTGAAGACAAAAAATGAAACTTCTTTTCAACCACCTCTACTATTAATTGTGGTCAGCGTGGAACGGATAGCGCCTACAAGACTGCGTGAATACTTCACGCGTTGCGTCCAACACAGAGCGTTCCGCAGCGGTCGGCGTGAAACGCAAGCGCCTACAAGACTGTCGGAATACTTCATGCATTGCGCCAAATACGGTGCGGCCTGCGCGGCGCGGCGGCGGAAGTTAAAATCATAGATCCACATTTATGTTTGTTCTTTCATAATTTTTTCCTTCATTTCTTATGAATGGTAGGCCTTGTCCACACAGAGATAGGTTTACGGAACTTAACTTTCGCGCAAAGTTCCGTGAACTTTTGCTAGGAGTGTTGACAGGGCTTTCCCAAAAAAATGTGTTCAACACGAGTAAGTGCGTCTTATGCACCCCTCCTCTCTGACACGTTCATTTGATAATTTTTATCGAGTTTCAAAACGAATGAGAAAGGGGCGGCAAAATACAGGCGGCCCATGGGCGGCAAGTAGGTGAATCCGGCCATGCTTTAGTAAGCGATTTTATATAGTTTTGTAGTGAATTTTAGCAGCTTGACAAGTGATCTGAAGAAAGAGACTGAAGAGAAAATGTACGCAAATCAAGAAAATTCGATTTTCATCTGCAGAAATTCGGCAACAACCACATCTTCACAGGACGGCTTTTTTTCCAACAACGCATACTGTGCTCACATTTTAACCTCTCTCGGGCACATCAAACGCTGGTGTGGACCGTAAAAGGTCTGATCCGAGAGCGGCGAATAGGCGCAATGCACGTAAAGAAGATACTGAAAACACTGATTTTCGTTAAAGTTGCCAGTTACTCCTCAAAGGGTTTTTTACACAAGTTATTTTTACTCTCGATCATCTATGATACTCTTCAGTAACTTATCTTCGGCATGCATCCTACCATACACCCAGGCAAAATCAACAAATTGGTTGCGACATCATATCAACTTCCCAAGACATAATAATGTATACATATTGTGTGCGTTGAGTTTATCTTGTTTGAACCCGCTCCTGTTTACTTTGCTCTTGAGTATTGATTTGACTTCTCTCTTGGTTTTCGCAGTTATGATGAGGGGCGCGACGGATTTCTGGACATCGGAGAACTGAAGATAATGATGGAGAAATTGGGTGCCCCACAGACGCATCTCGGACTCAAAGCCATGATCAAAGAAGTCGACGAGGACGGAGACAGTAAAATCAGTTTTCGAGAAGTAAGTCATCGGATTTTTGTCTCTGTTTGGGGGCATTAAATTATTGGACTTGACGTTGCAATGGACCACCAGACAAGGTACGAATTTCAGCATTCTGATACATGTTTCTTGACCAAAATTTCACGTAAAACAGGATGCGCACAACGAAAATTACCGAAATCAACTCCTTCCAAAGATTTTTAATGATTCTTGATGCGTGAATTCAAACCACCCGCTCATGAAAACTCAAAGCTCTACGCGACTCACATCGCGCGCTAAACGTTATCATGGCAGTCTCTGCGATATGAAAATCTGGCAACCTCAATTTTGACGCTTTGGCTCAGCTATAGCAAATTGCTTATAGTTTGAACGACACATGGTGGGAAATGAACATTGCTCGATTGTGAGGCATGGTGAAACCGTTGTAGTGCGCGATTTGACTCACGTACCTAGAGCTTTGAGTCTCTTGTGAGCGGGCAGTTCAAAGTCCTCGTAGCCAATGTGAAATAAAAACGTCAATATCTTCGTTAGGAGTTGGTTTCAGTAATTTTCGTTGTGTGAGTCGTGTTCTACGTGAAATTCTGGTTAAGAAACATGTATCAGATTACTTAAATTCGTACCGTGTCTAGTGGTCCATTAGGAACTACAATTTCTGGCTCAGTTTTGAAACAGCGTATGTAATACTAGTTTTCCCAATTACCTACCTAAAGGTTTTACGAATGAACAAAAAATGGTAGTTTCCGTAGGAACACATTTTTGGAATAATGCGGACGCCGCAATGTAGGTTCTGATGAAAAAGCTCTCTGAATTGAGATCGGGCATAGATGAACGCAACGCCCCTTCGTATGTGTATACTGTCACCAGCCGATGGAAGGTCTAATAAGTTGCCTATCTTAACAAACGAAGACACTTTCAAATGACCCGAGAGGAGTCCTAAGAGGTCGCACATTGCATCAAACACAGTGCGGTCAGCGTGAAACGCTTAGCATCTACAAGACTGTCCGAATACTGCACGCATAGCGCTAAACACAGTGCAGTCTGCGCGGCGCGGCGGCGGAAGTTAAAATCATTAAACTACATTTATGTTTGTTCTTTCATAATTTGTTCGTTCTGAATGGAAGGCCTTGTCCGCACAGAGATAGGTTTACGGAACTTAACTTTCGCGCAAAGTTCCGTGAACTTTTGCCAGTAGTGTTAACAGGGCTTTCCCAAAAAATGTGTCCAACACGAGTAAACGCGTCTTATGCACCCCTCCCCCGCTATTGATATTTCTAAACGAATGAGAAGGGGGCGGCAAAATACAGGCGGCCCATGGGCGGCAAGTAGGTAAATCCGGCCCTGCTCGAAACTCCGTTTTTATCGAAAGAAATTTTGCAACGTCTGAAGGCTCATACGACGTTTTTCCTTAGCATGGCGGTATTAATGTGGTCTTGGAACAAAACCAACCATCTCATATGAGCTTTAAGGATACAAAGTAGCTTTAACCAACACCCCCCCCCCCCCNTTAATAAATTATACATTCAGAAACTTAAAGCTTTCTCCTAGTAATTAATTGTAAGCTCACTTTTTTCTGCGTGCATCGTATACGTAACATCTAGCATAGGTATCTGTCTCATTGTCAGTCAACAGCTAAACGTTTTTTCATTTTGTTCACAGTTTCTGCTGATTTTCCGGAAAGCAAATGCTGGTGAGCTGCAGGAAGAAAGTGGATTAGGAAAATTAGCCAAACTGACTGAAGTTGATGTTGGTCAAGTAGGAGTTAATGGAGCAAAATCTTTCTTCGAAGCCAAGGTATTTTTCATCACTATGCTTCCTTAAAAATATGATTTTAAAAATGTGACTAGGAGATGCTCCTATAGCCTCTGAAAGGCCCAACATTCTCAACATTAAACCACTCTGGGGCAATGCAAAATCTTGACTATATTTGAAAATTTAAAGACAGCAGGCTTATCTGTAGATTTTTAGTCTAAGTACTTCCCTGTCTGTACATTGACGAAGAGACTTTTATTGAACTTAAACACTGATGGAAAATTTTGAGAGTGATACTGCTCCAGTGTGATCAATTTTGATACTTTAACATTGTATGCATACAGTGTAAGTTACAGTTTTCCTATATGCAATTCTTTTGTATGTTGTAGATCGAAGAAATCAGGCGAGGAAGCAAGTTTGAGGATGAAATAAGAGAAGAACAAGAAGAGAGGCGGCGAGAAGAAGAAGAAAGGTTGAAAAGGAAAACAGCCTTTAAAGAACGGGCAGCACTTTTCCAAAATGGGAGTGTTGAAGCACGATAAATAAATGTCACATTGTACTCAATTTGTCCGAAAATTTACCATTTAGCTTTTAAGTTTGAGTTCGGTGTGATTCGTAGATAGCACCGAGAGCAGCAAAAGTTTAAGCATTTTAAGTTCCTAGAAATTTAAAGTGTGTAACTAAACTAACTAACGAACAAAGTTTTGGCAGGTGCGCACCATCGGCTAGAGAAATATTGCGCTCCTTTTTGTGTTAGATGATTGTGGTTGATCTTTTTAGTTTGGTAGCATCCTCTTGACACGAAATTATTACAAAAGATATTCCTGTATTGTCCTTAATCATTATGAGAAATAATATTCAGTATTCACTCGGTGGATAAATAACAGTTTGCCACCAATTACCTCAATTGTGTTGAATCAGTCCAAAGTAAAAGCCAGTCTTATGGTCTAGCTGGTCTAGCCAGTTTCTTAATATTCGGAGGAATTATCCTTCTCTAAATTTTTTACTTAATTAAAAAATTCGACCTCAAACCCAGAAAGTGTTAAGGTCCAAAAGAGGATCTCAGTAGAAGAAATAAGTAATAAAACTCCCAAAACTGGCAAACAAGTTCAGAACCATGAAATTTCCAATAATCGAGGCATTTGTTTGCACTGAAAGTTAATTTTTTTTAAATTTATCTTAATTGAGTGTCAGTGTCCAATTGAATGTGCGTAGGTATTTTTTTACAACACAATTTTTACAATCTTTTAACATTTGACTAATGATGACGTTGTAAAAAAGCCTCATCTACTTATTTCCTGTATATCCTGTATCCTCCAGGAACAATTTGAAAATCGCATATTAGTTCTTTCCTTGATATCAATCTGTTGTGAATTTGATCAATTTTGCCGTGTCAATTTTTTGCTAAATCTTCATTATCGCATAGTGCTAACAATTGTGTACTTTATATCAACTTCTTATCTTTAAGTTTCATTACCTCTGCGGTGTTTTCATTGTTTTAGGTTAAATACCATCTGTAGTAATTAGTGATTTTACACTTTTTATGACTCACGGTCTTAACGGGAAGACACACTTTAACACCGCCATACTAACATAACTGTATTCAGTCATTGACGATTTAAAGTTTCTGATGTTACAGCACTCGTGCAAAGCTGTTTCGTGTATTCACAGGAGAAAAGAATCCACCTCTGAATTTTAATTCTGTATCCTGTAAGGGATTTACTTTCCACGTCATTTTAAAACCGACTGGAGCAATGTCTGTCAAAAATTTCCTAGTTATTTATGCCTGGTCTCATTAAATATAACTCATGCTGAAATTATTTTGTATACAAAACCTACCGCTAATGCCGCACCCTAATCCATTTTGCTATAGAAGAATTTCCTCTCTCATGTCTGTCACTTTATGAATTAAGTGTACAGTCATTCAGTGCTGCTACTAAAACTATCCAAACTCACAATTTCTCATCTAATAACTGCCAGCTAGAATCAAGTGCATTACTTTTGTTGTCAAGAAACTTAACAACTATATTAAAAACTATCAAATTATGAAATAGCTATGGCCATTAAACATTAATAAGCACTACTACCTTTTCTGTTATGATGTTCATAGCCACTAGCCATCAGTAATTTTTTTTTTTTTTAAGTACTGATACCTTTTTTTTCTTTCTTTTTACCTCCTCGTGGAAAAAATGGTTTGCATCAGAGATACATAATGGGTATGTCAGTTGGCTTTACCTAATTATTTTGCATCCCTTACCTACCAAATTAGGGCCACAACATACCTTGGTTTGCTTCTCAGCCCTAAACCAGTAGGTATGGGACACGAAAAGTTAGGTAACCCGACCCTAATTGACCTATCCGTCTCCTGTCTCCAAAGCAAACTCGTTTTTTCCGTATTTTGAGAAATTTGTACAACTTTAACTAGGCACAATTCCTCTTTATTTTAGATTAAAATTACTTAAAAATAAGATTTAACACAACCTTTTTGCTAGTCTTCGTATTTATATGTACCTACTTATTAGCAGTAATGAAGATTTTTAGGAGTGTAATCCTTTCTATTAATAATTAATTTTCAATTTAAAAGCTCAGCTAAGGCTTAGCGTTGAACCTTGGCTTTCAACTTGTGCAGTTCATAGACAAGCCAGAACGTAGAATGATAGAGATAAAAATTATAAGAATGTATATTTTTCTATACATGTTGTGACTTATGTAGTTTAATTTTGTAGTCTCAGATCTTTAGATCATATCATTTTCTTTGTTTTACTCTTGGACTTTCTTAGACGTGAAGTTTACTTTCAAATTACGAAGTTGATCAGTCATTCACAGCCAGTTTTTTTTCTAAGTGCAACATTATTTTTTTTTTATTTTTTGAAACACGGTGAACTGCATTACCCTGAATCATTTTGATACCCTGTATGAACACCATGCTTACTTTAATTCTAGATTCAGGCTTCTTTGGGAACTAATATGTAATATGTACACGAACAACCTTAATAGAAACTATTGTCCAATCAGAGTGCAAACAAGTAAAATTCTCAAGCTTTGCTCCAAAGAGAACTTTCATTGAGATCATGGACAATTGACTTTTTTCTTTTAGTGAAACTTAAATCAAGTAGGTTTTTGAATGGTTGCACAAAAATTATTACTGAATCATATCTCAAGTTTAGAATTTTTAAACATTTTAAAGATTGTACACCCATGAAAATTGATGTACAAAAAAAAGAGGAAAAAAGCAGGAGATTATACCCAAACTTAAAGTTAAAATGTATCATCTCAGTTGTAAATTTATTATTCTTATAGTGTTTTTTTTTTTTTTTTTATTATCATTGTTAATAATGTTTTAACTGTTCAGCTAATCTAATCTTGTGTTATTTCTAAAACTTTTACAATTATTTTTGTGATCAACTGTAATCGTTTACTTGGATCAACTGTAAAATGATCTGATTCATAAAAACTGTTACCATTTAAATTGGAGTTGATTATTCTGCAAATACCTTAGTATTAACCTCTCTAAACCTCTTTCTTGGTCCAGGCAAAGAAGGATATCTTGTAGATTCTCAGTACCCTCTCGTTTTTGCCAATTGAAAGGTCTGTTACAAACTTTTAAAAGAGCAAAATGAGAAGTTCTCTCTCATAGAAAATGGCTCAAAAATCACCAAGAACAATTGGTACGATTGAATTTTTGTGAAAAAATGAGGATTGTCTACTATTTAGAGTTTTGTTTAGAGATGAAAATGAAGATTCACGATTTTTACAGCACCGCAATGGCCTAGTTCCCTTTTGCTAAATTTGATCCAATTCTCTACTAGGTGAAGGGTTCAGGCATAACAATTTTCTCAAGAAGTTAATAAAAAAGTCTGGGCTTGCGTAAAAATTCAATTATATTAATTAAAAGGAATTTCTTCTCTGAAGCTAATTCCATAAACTATGGTTAAAAAACAATAAAAAAAAACAATCTCGAGCAAAACAGAATATGCTCAAAGCACGGTTCTCACTATGATACATGCTGTCTTACAGCTAATTATTCGTTCGCAGCAAGAGCATTCGATTGGCACACTTTTTACCGACTAGCATTGCGTATTCTTTTATTTTTTCGACTTCTTCGGGCTCATCTTCAAGTTGAGCTAGTCGCAAATAAGACGTAAAGGACATCACGCGACTTGAGTAAAACACTGTCACCTGAAAAAGAAGTAAATTGAAATCAGAGATGAGGCAAAAGACCATTTGCAGGGTTATAAGTTCTTGTAAAGTGTTTGAAAACCTTAAAAAATCAGGGAATTTGGCCAAACCCAAAAGGTCAAGTAATTATGCTGCAGAACCTTGAAACGTTTCCTACGAGAATAGAGAGGCCGTAACTACGATTCTGTGACGTCACGCTAGTAAATGAAACTCTGCCGCGATTTAACATGTGTTCTTATGGGAGAACACATGACACATATTCCTTATGTGCTAATATCTTTTCAGGGGTTGGTCTGATGCAAAAATTCATGAGAACCTTTTTGAAAGAAGATAAAATTTCACATCAGAACACTGCCTAGTTCATGAATTACATTGTCTGATAATTGAGGAAATAAAAGCTGATCACGACTGAATACCGAAAATACCCTACTAAGATTGAAACGCACCGCTCATGCAACTTCGGCCGATCGAAGGCGGCTCTGATTGGTTAACACAGCCATTACTCTGCTAGTTTGACATAACAAAACCGAATAGTTACGGCCTCTTGATTCTCGTGGGCAACGCTTGAAATTATTTCTTCTGGTCAAGGCATTTAATTAGATTTTATCACATCTACTCTACTGACAAAAAAGTAGAGCTTACCACCTTTAATTTCTTGAATTTTGAATTTTTTCAAATTCAAGAGACTTTGCACTGAACATGTATTGTGAGAGCATTTTCATGAGTAATTATGCCGGAGGGAAATGCTGAAAATTCAGGGAATATTGTGTTAAAGAACCCTGAAAAGTCAGGGTATTTTTAGATCGAAGAAAACTTGTAACCTTGTATGTCCTGCACTGTCACAGAACAATTACAATTTTTATGCAAAAAAATAAAGCTTCACTCTGCATCCAAGTTTAGTACCAAAAGTTCTACAAAGTCGCAGGATTCATAGTTCTTCTACCTATTTCCCGTAAAGATTTTGTCTTCCCCTTCGAAAATTTCAAGTGAAGAAAGAGGTTGGTGAAACAATCAAATACTTGCACAAACCATTCTTCCTGTATAAGCTTTTTAAACTCTAAGAAGACAAGAAATACTTACTTTTCCTAAATCTGTTTCACCCTCTGTATCTGTGGCATCCAAATCTGGGTTGAACCTACAATATTGAGAACTTTCCAACTGATCAAGCTTGGCAAGGCATTCTTTAATTGGAAACCATTCGTAAGTTTCTGGACAGAGGAGAAAGGAGGGTGAGAGATTCGCTTTGTATCGCATCTTGGGACAAGAGTGAATGTAGTATCCCATGTAATAAAAGCGTAGGCTGGGCGAGAAGGCTTGCAGTGAACGGACGAACATGACTTCTCTGGAAAGACAAGAGACACAAAAATTAGAATCAAGTAAGGGAAAGGTCATGATGAAACAACTATTATTCAATAATGTATTTTGCTCTAACAGTCATCAGTTCAAAGAGTTAAGTTAAAAGTTAAGAGTTAAGTTTTCACCATACCAGAAAAATTTGCAGGAAAACTTTATTATAAAAGGGTACATACATATAGTAGACAAAATATTACTTTAAAATAGCAGAAAAAATCAATTTGGCACCTATATCAGATAAAAAAAAAATTTAAATCCATTTTTTTAAAAATTTTGAAAACTTTTGAAATGGGCTTTTATTTTAAATCGGTAAATCAAGCAGTATGATTGGTTTCTTGTTCTAAATTACAGCAGAGCCAAAGTTAATTTTTAAGTTGTTTTATAATATATGATTTCTTTTTTTCTCTTTTTTTTGTACATGAGATTCTTAATTTATAAATTCTAAATTGGCTATCGGGATGAGCAAAAGAAACACTTGATACGCGAGTTACAAGTGAAGAGTCCCCCCACTTGACAAAGTTGACATTTTGGGAAAAAGCCCCCCTCCCTGGCCCCTCCTGGAGGATTGTGGGGTCAGGATCACCCCCCTCCCCTCATAGAAAAAGGTTTCCCCCTTAAGGATAAGGACAACGGTCCAAATCAGAACACATTAACTCAAAAATTGAAAAATTGATGGTTAATGGAGCGTTTTTTGGCCCAACCCGGTATAGACCAAAAATACTATGTACCTTAGAGATCCATAGGTGCCCAGTGTCAGATCCTTGTAGTCTGGGTCATAAAAAAAATAAACAGATGATACACATTTTGGTAAAATATCCAAGACTCCCACTGCTATTAATTTCCCATCCAACCAATATTGTTGGTGAAAAGATCCATAACCTTTGGGAGGACTTCCATTGCCTAGTTTAAACTGAGAAAAAAAAGAATATGTTATGAAAAAAGCATAAAATTATAATGGACCACTAGACAAGGTACAAAATTAAGCATTCTGATACATGTCTCTCAACCAAAATTTCATGTAGAGCACAATTCAAGGAACAAAAATTACTGAAACTAACTCCTATCCAAGATATTTAATGATTCTTGACGCATGAATTCAAACCTCCCGCTCATAAAAACTCAGGGGTCTGCGTGTGTCAAATTGCACACTAAACGTTACCATGGCAGTCTCTGCAATACAAAAATATATTAGCCTCAATCATAACGCTTTGGCTCAGCTATAGTAATTTGTTTGCACTTTGAACAATAAAGGGAGGGAGAGGAACAATACTCGATTTAGAAGCCTGCCAAAACCCTTGTAAAGTGTGATTTGACTCACTTAGGGTATTGAGTTTCTTGTGACCGGGCAATTCGAATTTTCCGTGCCCAGTGTACAATAAAAACGTTGATATCTTAGTAAGGAGTTAATTTCAGTAATTTTCAATGAGAAAATCATGTTCTACGTGAAATTCCGTTTAGAAACATGTAACAGAAGGCTTAAATTCGTACCTTGTCTGGTGGTCCATTAAGTATAAAGAGGAATGAAAAGAGGATACGAAGCAAAGTTTGATGCCTTTCAGCCATAAAAGATAATGAACAAGATAAATAAAACAAAAATTTCTATTCTTCACTTGATAATTTTCATGAATTTATGATGAGATATTTCAAAAACTTCAAGAGCCCATAATGGACCACTAGACAAGGTACAAATTTAAGCATTCTGATACATGTTTCCTAACCAGAAGTTCACGTAGAACACGATACGCGTAACGAAAATTACTGAAACCAACTCCTAATGGAGTTATTAACATTTTTATTTCACATTGGTTACGAGGAATTTGAACTGCCCGCTCACAATGAGACTCAAAGCTCTACGCGAGTCAAATCGCGCACTACAACGGTTTCACCATGCCTCTCAATTGAGCAATGTTCATTTCCCACCTTATGTTTTTCAAACTATAAGTAATTTGCTACAGCTGAGCCAGAGCGTCAAGATTGAGGTTGCCAGATTTTTTTATCGCAGAGACGATCATGATAACGTTTAGCGCGCGATATGAATCACGTAGAGCATTGAGTTTTCATGAGCGGGTGGTTTCAATTCATGCACCAATAATCATTAAATATCTTCGGAAGGAGTTGATTTCGGTAATTTTCGTTGTGCGCATCCTGTTTTACATGAAATTTTGGTGAAGAAACATGTATCAGAATGCTGAAATTCGTACCTTGTCTAGTGGTCCATTACAAAATAATCCATAACTACCCTTTCAGTATCATTAAAAAATAAATGGCTGTGCATGGGAATATACTCAATTGACGAAAAATATTATATTTTTTCTCATATTCCACATTACATCTAAGTTAAAAATGATGTTCATTAAAATCAGAATGCTGGCATTGTATGGAAACAGTCCAAGATAATGAGCAACAGTATAGTCTCTCTTCACTAGCACCCTCTGTCCCTGTGCCACAAGAAGTGAGAGCCAATGTCTACCTGTTTTCTTCATTACCGACTCAATTTTAACAGTCTTGAGATGAAATCTCAGTTAGAAAAGCGACAACTTGGCATCTCGAGTTAGAGCAATGCAATTGACCAATTTCATGGTACATCAGCACTCGAGTTTCAGCATGCGTCCTCCTTTGTGGACTTTTTTACAAAAGGACTCAAGACTTGAATGGATTACGGCATTAAAATTGCCAAGATAATATAAAAGAAAATGAGACACCTATAACAGTAGAGCATTTAAATAATCATCCATTAACTCTCATTTTGAACTGCTAACTAAAGTAGTTTGGATTTTGATTTTTAATATTTTGTTTTAAATTATTTAAATACTAAGAGGATCTTAATCTACTAGAAATGAAAGATTTCATTCATGAGGCAAACATACAACAAAGAATTATTGGGGAACTGCTAAATCTAACGCTAAGTTTCATTGAAACTGAGAGCAATCTAAAAATGGGCTATCTAAACCAGAATTCATAGAAATAATAACCATAAAAAGACTGGATTCTGTCAAACTTGAAGCTTTAACTGAAAAATTTGGAGACAATTCTTAAAAAATTTGAGCTAAAATTCTTCAGGATGCACTGCGTCTCAACTCATAATGTAATTATTTTTGTAAAACCCAAACTGTAAAAACTCTACAGATTTATTAATATTATTCATTACAATGAATTTAGCACGCAAAACCATGGATTGGAGACAACAGCAGAAGTTACTAGACAACCTCATTACCTTCACTGTAATTTGCATAACTTGCACTTGATGAAAAAAATCTTTCGAACGCGCCTTCAAAATAAAAGTATATGAAAAACGAGCTTTTTATAAGTATCTCCTATGACTTGAGGAATTAACTTCTGTCAGATTTCCACAAGAATTTATATCATCTTAACTTGAAAATAGAAAATAATGCCTGATTCCTGGTTCATCTGTGTTAAATCTCCTTAAAAGTTGAAAAGTTTCTTATGGGACTCCTGGGCTGGTAGCGGTGATACAGAAACTCAACATAGTGAGAGAAAGAACATACCTTCAGTGGAGAAAGGACTAGAAATTCAGAGTAAGATTTTCGCGTGCACTCCTCAGGAGGGTCGTTATGGACAGCCATTTGATACTTAGTGTAAAGAGCCCAGCTCACATCAAACGTTTCCTCAAACTCTTCTGAGCGAGTTCTCACCAATTTTATCTTAACAGAATCAAATTTAAAAATGAAAGGATATTAATATTTTAATAGGAGATGCACAGTTAGTAAATAACTCAAGAATGATTCACTTCTGAAAAACATTGTTCTTTTTTACAGTTTCAGGCACAAACCAAAAAAAAAGCTGGGAATTCTTTTTATAAAAACAGGGATTTTCAAACAATGGTTCGCTTCGTCGGAGATGACACAGATATAACCAGACAAATTTGAGACACACGGCACAGGTAAATGATCCGTTTTGTTCGGTGTAGAGATTAACAGAAAATGTTACATATTCAAAAACAACTAGAAATATCCAAACAAGGACTTCAACTTTCAGGAGTATGCCACAGAACAGAGAATAGGATCATCGTTTTTATGCCCTCGATTAACTCCCTTGCCCTTTGACTTAATTTTTAATAACAATTGAGACAGGATTCCTTTAAGGTATAAAAACAACCAAGGAAGGAAATGAGGGGGAATAATCTGAAAAACAGGATAGGGAAAAATGTTCTGACTTTTATGAAATCCAGATGTGAGTTTCTTCTGAAACCTGCGTATGTTTGCCTCATGATTGAAAGTACTGTGACTTTGCAAAAGATTCTACAGCAAATATTTATCGAGCCTAATTTTTGTTTGCTTGATTTTGAGATTTTGAAAAAATGTTTTTTCTCAACTCAAAAAAAAAAAAAAAAAAAAAAAAAAAAAAAAAAAAAAAAAAAAATTGTTCAACTGTTGCACTTTCTGTCTGAGAATTTCACTGAACTGCATTACCTTTTTAAAATTATATAATTGAGTCAAGATAATCAATTACAGGTATTTAAAGATTTTTCTTACACTGAAATATTGGAGCTTCATCAAGAAAATGCAATTTTATGAAAAATTGTGACTCTCCTGAAATTTAGTTTGGGTAATGATCAAGAGATACCATTCAAGCAAACAAGAATTGGCAACTTCTAATATTTGCTTCGTTGAACAGCTTGAATCGCTTTCAACAGAAACCAAGTACCTGAAGCGGTGAGTCAACAAGGAAGCGCGTAAACTGGCGCATGGAGCATCGCTCAGGGGGATCTTTGTGAATTGTTGTTTGGTACTTTTGGTAAATCTCGTACTCTGCTTCCTTACAGGAACTCAGCTCGCTACTAGCTATTGTTCGCACCTACACATCATTAATTGCTGTTTAAATTCACAAAAATAACTCATCCGGGTGAAAAAATGTTAAAGGCTACATAAAACTGGGAAAATAACATGAATGACAAACGAATCTTTCAGTAACTTTAGATAACAAGCAAACCAAATGAAGGTAAATTATTATTTTTTTTTTTTTTTTTTTTTTTTTTTTTTTTTTTTTTTACTCTTTCTTTTGCTTCTGAATTACCGAAATATTATTCTTTTCCAAGGATTTTGGTGCAAATATTCATTGACTGATGGAAAAGAGAGCATAGGGGTGTTCTAATGATATAATTGAATTTTTCCAAAGATTTGTCGAGAGACGAGAATTCGGAAAATTAAATTTTTACAAGAGCACTCAGAACCAGAGGTGCAAAGAAGCTCAATGCTTTTCCGCAAAATAAATTGGTTTTCCCCATTTTTACCAAAATGTATAAATTACTTTCTCCCAGAAGATTAAAATCATATTCCTCCCAAGAAATTTTACCTTTTCACCTCAACGATTTTGTTGAAACAAAAAATACAAAAAGAATCTGACAGCCTTACTGTTCTCTTCTCCACGCTCAAAAATCTCCTCATTCCCTTGGACCAAGCTGGATGCATGATCCAGAATCCCTACATTCTTTTTCTCAACCTTGTGCAACAAACTTTCCTATGAGAACCGAAAATTGAAAGGATGGAAAATGATATAAAGAATGAAAAATACATACTTATAAAGGTTATAAATAAAAACATACAGGGTGAAGTATAGAGCAATCATCAATGGACTGATTACCAAAAGGTGGAGTTACGGGATGGGTTGACAAATGAAAAACAAAACAGAAGCAAGAACCTGTGTCCATGGAAAAACTGGACTTCCTAAACAGATGAAAGCGTTTAGAGGACCTACATTTTTTCGACTGCTTTCATACAATTTTGAGAAAATTTGTAAAGAAACAATTTAAGCCTTGGATTCTTTGAAAGAATCTCTCAACTTCAGCCTTTAAGATATAATAAACTTAAGTACTTATCAGACTCCGCTTTAGATAGTCAAATAGATATAATCATTACATATTGTATCCTAGCAAAATGCAACTAGTGTAGTTATCAACAATTTTCAGAAAAAATGTTGTCGATAGTTGCAACATTTTTGAAATCAAAAATAAAAAATATTTAGAGTAAGAGCCAAGTTGGGGCGGAAAAGAAATCTGATGATCTCATGATTTTTAGCAAAGAAGATGAAAATTTTCCTATCACTACTTTTCTGGAGGCAACGTCTTTTGGGGCCACTTGCTTTAACTTTCGAATACTTTGATGTACTCCAGGAAAAATGAAATTTCAGTGGTGAGAAGCATCTGAAATATTTTTTTTTGGATTGAGAACACCCATTGCTCAAAATGTAGGGCATTCAAAACTTAGTTGAGTAATTGTTTCCAATTTTCCACAGAACTCCAAGTTTTTCTGAACACTAAAAGAAAACTTAATTGTATTCCACAAAAATTCCATGGAGAAGGAATTTTTTGCTGATCCAACGACATTTCTTAAGGTTTCCTCTGATGTCAAAATAATTCCCTGATGAGTCCCAGCATCCCTAGATTTCCAATCCTATAGACCCTGATACTTGGGAAAAAATTTGATTGTCTGATAAACTGGTGCAAAATGGACTGATAAACACCCTTGAAGACACAGTCATCATTTCAAATTCAGCTAGAGGGAGTTATTGAATATTACCACTTATCTGCAATTCCTAGACCCTTTAAAGCTATATTCTAGATTTAGACTGGCATGCATCATTGTGCGTAGTTGCCTCAGTGCTTCGTTGAATTTCATGTGGGAACAAAATATTTTAAAAAACTAAAACAAACCTCTAATCGGTGTGCAGGATTCTCTGGCATAGGTGCATTTACAAAATCTTCTACCCCTTTTGGCTGTGATTTCTTCAGCCGATTTTCTTTCATCAATGCCTCAGCCTCTTCTGGAGTCATTCCTTGACTTATGAGTTTTTGTTTTTTCCTTTCTCTCCTTTTGAATTTTGCTTTCCCGCAAACTCTGGTACTTAATTCTGAAATAGTAAAGAGCAATTATACACCAAAACAAAAGGGCTTGTTTTGTTCGTCATTCTTCACCTGCGCAGATTATGATGATAAACATAAATTGACTAATGAGCAGACCAGATCATATTTGCAAGAAACAAAACATCTCCTATTTTTATTTTGTAAAACTTAGATTTAATATTATCTATGCAATAAGAGTTACAAAAAAAATCACTCTACGATCTGCTTGGTCATTGAAATTAGCATTATGGCAGCAGCATTATTTTTGAACAATTAGATAATAAATTCTGAGTGACCTTGGGAACTTGAGAGGTTCTGTCTAAATTTTTGAAGACCATCTCCAATTTTATGTCATTTTTAATATTTCTGATCTGAAGGAGCTTCAAATCTGAAATTTCATTTTTGATGCGAAAAAATTTTAAAAAATTCAAGCAGGTACACACAGATTCTTTTCTGTGACATGATATACAAATTTACTCTGTTCAAATAGGAAAATTCATAATTTCAGCATGTAATATTAAAAACCTGCATACACCTGCATACCTGGTTACATTTCAAAAATCTGATGAAAGCAGGATTATCTTGGAGGTTAATGAAAGAAGAAAGGGGCTATTTAAGGAGCCACTATGAATACGGCCCTAAATCTTATTTCCCTTTAACAAGCATACTCAATTCTAATTATTTCAACATGGACCACTTACCGCTTGGAGCTAACTTGGTTTCTAAAGATTTGGGTTTTGTGGATTCTTCTGTTTCCATTTTCATACTTTCAGATAATTTAGTTTTCTTTGCTAAAAACGACAAAAAAATAGAAAAGATGTTAGTAGTTACTCGACTGCATTCATTTTTCATCCTGACGAGGGTGAAGGTTGGGGAAGAAAATGTATTGTTTGTAAGGAGGCCACGGTGAACTTCTTGCATAAACTACTAAATGTTTCCAATTGAGGATTTGTCAGGTAACATACGTGGCACAACATCCACATCTTTTTTCAGAACTTTAAAAAGAAAAGAAAAATATATCATCCCCAAGATCTAAGTCTCGACGCGGGGGAAGAGAAAAGATTCAAAATAACGATACTATAAAATCAGTGCTTCATTATTTTCTTCACAGATTGTTAACTGCTAGGATTTTATTTACCCTTTGATCCAGAGAATAAACATTAGAGACCCCAAACTGCTTTCTCTACAGGGTAAAAGTAAATTTTTGGAAGTTGATACTAAAATTCGCCTAATGCAGGATAACTGATGACTGAAATGTGAGCAATCTGGTTCGTAAACAAGACCACTTTTGACAAAACTTACTTTGCCAACTGCTTGGTCTGCCATTTATAAGTCATCATTGAGCAAAAAGTATTATCCAGAAGTTGTTCATCCATCATTAATGCGCAAATAATAACGCTGATCATCAAACTTAATTTTCGCCTCATCCAATTAAATTGCTGAAATTAAGCAAGCAGGATCTCTAAATACATTTTCTCCTGGCCCTAATAAGACTCCAATTAAGTCTGGTAAATTAGCTTATTTTTGTCTTGAAAATTTTTGTTGTTTCCTTCCTGCTACAACCTAGAGATACTGCCAAAATATTGCACAATTAAGGTGATTCGTCAAGCTCAAGTGACGTGGTCAAGCTGGCATGCCATTTATCGCATTGATTAGGTCAAAAATCTCAGCAGATTTTGAATTTTTAGCAAAAAAAAGCCGATAGCCCCTGCACATTAGCCTAAAGATCATTCTAAACCCAAAAATCGGGAAAATTCAGGGAAATGAAAGCAGAATAGTGTTTGGAAAAAAACCTCGCATTCGATTCAGCTATCGATTTCTGTACCGAGTGTGAGGTTTTTATCCAAACACTATTCTGCTTTCATTTCTCTGAATTTAGCTGATTTTTGGGTTTAAAATGATTCTTTAGGCTCATGTGCAGGGGCTAGAGTCCTTTTTTTGCTAAAAATTCAAAATCTGCCGAGATTTATGACCTAATCAATGAGATATATCGCATGCCAGTTCGACCACGTCACTTGAGCTTGACGAATCACCTTAAGAATTAACTCAGAAGAAGGACAAAGTTCGACTTAATTTATATCAGAGCTTAATAATCACAAAACCCTTACAGTGTAAAATTGATCCTTCAGCAGGTGATCCAGCATCTATTTGGATACTAGAAGTTTCAATTTGAGATCGCCTTTCTTGTGGAATATCCTGAATCAGTTCTACTGCACCACCTGAGAATTAAAAATACATGCGTAGTTAGACGCATACTTCTCCTGCTGAATCTCTAATTATACATAATTAGAATGATTGATAAAATAGGCAAATAGTAGATATATGTTTCAAGCAACTTTTCCATTTGGATAAACAGGTATTGACACAGAAAAAAATTAATGAGGACACAACAGTAGTTGAGTTTTTTAAAATGTGTCACTTGATCACCATGACAAATTGCTATTCCTGTGCCATCTGGAACTGATATTTGAAATCATTTGATAAAACTTCATAAAATGATGACAAATAGGGTGTTCTAAAAGTTTCAGTTTTTGGTTTGTGGTTTGTGCAAGGCTTTAGATTGAATCCATGGCTATAAAGCAAGACTTTGTGCAGGTCTAGGATTTAAAACAACCAAAGTACAGTATTTCAAAAATAAAGTGTACATCGAGCATGTATGCGCATCTATTAACCAAGAAATTCAAGGCGGGAAAAGCAAACAATCAAACCTTTCATGGGAAAAAGAATGCAACAGAGAGAGAATAAGTGATGACAGTTAGGCGCGCAAGAGCAGTTTCTATTAAATGAACAGTATCTCACATATTGGCGTGCCAGCTCAGTCAGTCGGATCAGAGTTTGCAGTTGCGCAATCGTTTCTCACCTTTTTGATAAACGCTGACATAAAGAAAAAGCAATGATCATCTTAATAAACATTTATCAGTTCTCTGAACGTGCCTTTCACTGAAATACACTGAAAATGATAACTAATGACAAAATTTTGCTATTTCTTGAAGTTTGCATTCATCATGAACATTAGAAATGCCTGCACATGCTGGTCTTGTTTTAAAGTTAACTCCCTTCTGCTGCATTCTTTTTTCCGTAAAAGTTTTCATTTTTCGCGTTCCTTGCTTTGAGCTTTTTTATTGAAATACAAGAGGCTGGAAAAACATGAGAGTATTTCTTTACACACTGGAACGTTGTCACTTTGGTAATAATAAAATTAGATACCTGCAGAAGGTCTTGTTTTAAAGTTAAGAATTAGATCAAGAGCCTCAAGCAAACAGTATTGTAATTAGCCTTTACCTTTTATCCAAAAACAAAAAGCGTGCAGTGCTTTTCTATGTACTTATCCAAAGTAAAAGGCTTCACCCTGAAAAAAAATCGGTACTCCCTTTTCATAAAAGTAAATCCTTCCTTCGATGAGGAATGAAAACGTAAAAGATATCGGTACCTGAAAGCAAAAATAAAAGCAACTTTCGGATTTGCAAAAAGACGCTACATCTAAAGCCTTTTCAAGTTAAATTACTGGTTTCATTAGGAGAAAAAAAATCGTGCCATAGAATTCTTTCCTTGTATTCTCAGTAACTTTCTTCTTTTTCTAATATCCCTTGTTGCTATCAAGTTTTTTGTTCCTTGGAAAGGTATATTAAAAATCTTACCCGGAGAGGAATCTCGAATTGATGATCGCTTCCTATCACCTGTTGCCAAGAATCGATGCATTTGCTTGAGAATTTTTTTATGGGATTTTGCTAACCTGAATTCTAGAGCTGCACATCTGCAAAATTGAGCAAGAGAACTCTCTCAATAATCAACATATTGACAGGCTAAAAGCTCTGCATGAATAAAAACCAAAAATACTACAAAGAAATAAATATAAAACATCTTCGAGGGGGGAGGGGGGGGGAGTAATAGGGGATGCTAGTGTGTAATCAGGGGAAAAGGGACTTGTAGCAATGTACAGTGCTTTGGCGCTGAGCGAGTGGCGCAAAACCCAGTTTACGTACACAAAACAGTGAATACCTTAGAAAAGATAGGTAGGACCTCTTTCCCCTGGGAACTATTTTTCAGCGTGATATGCTTGACGCCTCATAAAAATCTCAAATATTAAACTCATTTTTTTTAAATGAGGTATAAAACGAGAGAAAATATTGCGTTAAAATTTCCGGCGACTGAGGAAAATCCGCGGAAATTCTTTAGAAAAACTGTATTTGCCTTTCGTATCAAGAATGATTAAAAATAAGACATTATTTGAGGTCTTCAACGTTGCAGTCGGAGCTAAATACGCTTCCTTACGCGTGTAGGAAAGGATATTTGAACTCATTCACGGCAGGCGCAGTGATACGACTATTCGACCACGGGTGTAAGCATGTTGCTGCCTGCCGGATTGAAGGTGCGCCACACTCCAGCAATTACTCGGGTCCCGTCCCGTGCGATCTCCCTGGCTGGCGCGCCTCTAAAATCGCCTGAAAAGGGAGTACTGCACGTCATTATCCTTGCCTCTCTGTCCCGTTTTTACCACAATTTGAGTGAAAGTGTATCCCTGAATTGTACCGATTCAGAATCTCGGATTGGGTTTATAAAATTCATTTTTTTAAACGAGGTATGAAACGAGCGAAAATATTGCGTCAAAATTTCCGGCGACTGAAGAAAATCCGCGGAAATTCTTTAGAAAAACTGTATTTGCCTTTCGTAACAAAAATGATTAAAAATAAGACATTATTTGAGGTCTGCAACGTTGCAGTCGGAGCTAAATACGCTTCCTTACGCGTGTAGGAAAGGATATTTGAACTCATTCACGGCAGGCACAGTGATACGACTGTTCGACCACGGGTGTAAGCATGTTGCTGCCAGCCGGACTGAAGACGCGCCACACTCCAGCAATTACTCGGGTCCCGTCCCGTGCGATCTCCCTGGTTGGCGCGCCTCTAAAATCGTCTGAAAAGGGAGTACTGCACGTCATTATCCTTGCCTCTCTGTCCCGTTTTTACCACAATTTGAGTGAATGTGTATCCCTGAATTGTACCGATTCAGAATCTCGGATTGGGTTTATAAAATTCATTTTTTTTTAATGACGTATGAAACGAGCGAAAATATTGCGTCAAAATTTCCGGCGACTGAAGAAAGTCCACGGAAATTCTTTAGAAAACCTGTATTTGCCTTTCCTTACAAGAATGATGAAAAATAAGACATTATTTGAGATCTGCAATGTTGCAGTCGGAGCTAAATACGCTTCCTTACGCGTGTAGGAAAGGATACTTGAACTCATTCACGGCAGGCGCAGTGATACGACTATTCGACCACGGGTGTAAGCATGTTGCCTCTCTGTCCCGTTTTTACTACAATTTGAGTGAAAGTGTATCCCTGAATTGTAACGATTCAGAATCTCGGATTGGGTTTACACTGGTTTGACTAGGAGCCACTCCCCAGTAAAAAACTGATTTGTCCCTTCCTGACATAGCCAGCCTGTGTGATGGGGGCAATTTAAGTTGCAAAAGTAGTGTCCTTCATGAGCGTACATGAATAACTTACTTGATAGTATACATAGGACAGCATGTTTCATTCATTGTAGGTTTGTAACAATAGCTGCCACTCCTTCGCCATCCCCGGTCTATAAGACACTGGTAATCTTCCACCGACATTTGATGTGCCCACATTCCTAGAAACACACCAGTACTATTAATGCACAATTCTCCTTAATTCTTTAAATTCTCATAATGATGAAGGATAATTGACTGAAAAATCATCATCAGGATTCAGAGCCGCACATAGGTAAAGAACGAGTAGAAGCGGTACTCTATTACAGGTTGCTACAGTTTATAGAAAGGCGCCGCTGAACCCCCCTGGCTGTCTTACCTCAGTTACCTCACCCACATTAAGTTGAACCGCATGCACAGTTTAAATTGGATTACATGTCCAAGGTAAGAATTTGCACTATTCCTTGATTCATAAGCTTGAAACTACTACCTATACTCCTTAGAGTTTTTAAATGTGGGTCATCTCCCGCAACTCAATTCAACGCATAGAGATAGAAAAAGAAATGACACCCTTTAAAGGGCTCATCTTCAGGTGATCTGTTAGTGTCATCATCATGATGAAAAAAGTACAAACTGCTTTCTTCCGCTATGAAACTGCACGACCAACAAATAGCAGCAGTGGCTACTCAAAGTGTAGTTTTAGTCCCTTCCTGCTGATCTAAGAAATTAACTCCAAACACATACAATAAGAAAATACAAACTTAAGTACCATGCCTGATGATTGAGTCAGTTTTTTTACAATAACCACAGCGATACTTCCTGTCATCGGAATGAAATTCCACAATGGATAAATCTGGAGCCATTATTGCACTTGAGACAGAGACTGGTTATGATTTGTAACGTTACCGACGAGAATAGAAGAGTTGAACACTGCAAAGGATAATAGAAAGTAAATTTTAAAATGTGTAGAAAAAGTTAAAATTAGTACAGATTACAGAAAAGAGATTCAGACAAAGCATAAACACTGATAAAAAACACGCACACGGAGACAAAGATGTCCTGCTCCAATGCTCCCGTTCCATTGGTTCTTGGTTCCCTCCGTTTTTCAGTTTGTTTTGATATTTCCCTTATCTAAGTCCAACAGACAAAAACAGAAAATGTGAAGTGAGTGAAGCTTTGTGAAAAGCTTAATTTTCTTTCAGTTTCTCGTACCGTATGAGTGTTCTTATTTGAAGACGAGATGTAGGTCAAAATTTTGGTATTATTTTGTAACTGATCTTTCAGTGCAAAGTATCTGTGTTCATCTTGTGAAGAAACTTTTGCCCACTTCTGATCGAGGAATGTTCCACAACCTATCATGAGTAGTAGCAATCAAGACGATGAAGATGATATTTATGAAGATTTACCAGATTTCCAGTTAGATGAAACTATATCAAAGGTACCCATAGATGTAAAAACTAATCCTCATCATGTTTTATTTATCATAACTCCTGTCTTTATCCATAGACTTTCTAACCTCAAAAAGTCGCCCTCAGATGGCTTTTTTTCTGGAGAATTTCTAATACTGATGCATCATAATTTAAGTACCAAAATACTCTTTTCCTCCTTCTCCTGAGCCCACTTTTGAAGTTTGAGCTTTGTTGTCCTGCTGAAACTCTTGGATAGGGTATGATGCAGAGCTCCTAAAAGTATGATATGTCTCCTTCAAACGCCAATTGAAATGTAACCAATGAAGGTTACTCTTATTTGCTGTAGTTGGTTTAATCTACTATTATATCAAGTATCAAAATGCTGCTCTGAAAAGTGATACAAAATTGGTTACATGCAGAAAAAGTTTGCGAACCGTTGAGTGAAATGGAAGGTCCGCCATCTTGATTGTGTCTATGCCTTTAGAGTCTACGCCAAATAAATTCACGCTCTTCTAGACTACAGCAGAAGATTGTCTAGCGTCACTTTAAGTAGTAAAGTAAATGGAAGATTGCAGATGGCGGATCTTCTGTCGCAGTCTAAAAGCGTGTAAACTCATTTGGCATCGGCTCTATGGTCAAATGAAGATGAATTGATCCTCTAATACACTCCAACCGCTCGCAACCTAATTGTAAACCCCCATCTGGTGAGTGAGGAAGTTTCAGTCAAGTGGAATCCTAAATGAGCTAACTGAAATTAATTACTGAGGAACAGAGTCGAAAATTATAGTTTCGATACCTTCATAATCATCTGTGTGTTTTAATACTGTCCTCTATCAGTAGTTTTGATTCAACTCAGTGCACACACTCATTGTAAGTGCTAACTCAGTGGACTTTCCAATCACTTTAACAAGTTAACCAAAGAAGGTCATGTTAATCACGTCTGGAGGTTCTACAGCGAATAGAGTCCTACGAGAGTTATCTCTACTAAATATTGCATGGTGAACTCAGAAATCAAACTCAGTGTATTTACTGAATATGTAGATGGCTAGATTGCTAAAGTCAACCTTTGAAGTCAGTGAAATGATACCGGTCCATGCAGTTTTATATCTATTGTGAGCATGTAGGTGAATAAATCCAGTCAACAACTCAGCAAGGCTCAGGACCTAGCTTACTTTTTGAATAATTTCACCGACAACATGACAAAACATCAGAGCAACTGCAAGCAAAAATTAAATTTTTTTTTCACATTTTAAAATTGAAGTTGGAACTATAGGAGGTTATGTTCTCGGAAGAGGCACGGAAATGCTGCATGTGTACAAGATAAATATGATATTAAAGCAGTTCATATTCAATAATTCAGCGGTCACTTGATCAGCTGCTTCACTGATTCAAGTAGAGGGGCATTCAAAGACTCTATTATTTATAATGTTGCTATTTTTAACTCCCTCATACGATGTCACAATGGTCATATGGTTGAAGTGCTGACTAGGAAGCACAAAGCCCCTACGTTCAAGTCTACTTGCGACCAAACTTGTTCATTTTTCTCAAATAAATTTTCAACATTATAATATTTAATATTTTTTTTCAATGTTATCACCATTACATGTGTGACTTCTTTTTATTTATTTAGCGGTAACAACATCCAAAACCATCATTAGTCACTCTTTTGGGTTGGTTTCCATGGATCCTATTTGATTAATATCTATTAATATTAGCCCACCAAGAGTCTGGTTTAGCATCCACCTGGTAAATGCTCCCCTGTCGATAACGCAGTTCTCCCCAGTATTGAGGCTTTTCTCTAGCCTTTGCTTATGACTTCTTTGTTGCAGTCAAGCTCCATATTCTCCTGTGTATTAGTTATGTCCGAGCCTCTTTTAGGTTTGTAGTCTTCCATGGTGAAATTCACTAGTTGGTTGAATACGATTTGACCACCTACCAGAGATGGCATTTGAAGAGGCCAATGTTTCTTCAATATTCCTGGTTTTCAAGAGCCACCAAAGACAGCAGTATTGTCATGTAGACTGTGAATTATCTACCTTCCAATTATTCTATAATCATATCATATTTTGTGCGAACATCACTGTATTTTTGATTTTTCCAAGATATCTCCTAATTTATAACTTGCATTTTCCTTTCAGTTGGAAGAAGCAAACTCTAGTCTACAAAAAAGACTTGCTGAATTACAGGATGTAATCGTTGATCTTAATAAAGAAATTAAATCTTTGCATCGAGAGAGGTCACACCTGAAGTCTCAGAATGCTACATTGTCAACAAACATTTCAAGTCTTTACAAGACTGCGATTTCTGAAGTCAAGCGAAAAGACAACATCATCAAAGAACTACGGGAAGAGTAAGTCATCCGTGATTTTTACATGAAACTCATTTCTGTGTTTCTAGTGTACTATCCAAACTATCGAGTATCGAATAGCTGCATTTAAGCATTAATTATGGACAGACATGACATGCACATGAATAAGGATCTAAGTTGGATCTTCCCCGTTCTCATGATCAGGAACTTTTCTGGGAAAATTTCAGGGAATTGCCAATACAACTAAATATTACTTCCACAGAAAACTTTGGTGGAAACACACATGTACATGTACACAAAAAGCACTCACTTTTTGAGAGTCTCTGAGAACATTCCTGGTAATTTCTATTTCTGTTCCTAGTACTCAACACTATTGGGAAACTCAAACCCTTACTCCCAGAAGCCAATTTGTCTATTCTTGTTTCAAGAAATGGAGTTATTTATGGTTTTAGATTAATCAATAAAATTCTCATGAGGGAGCAAGAGCTTTTTATGTCAAATGCAAATCGCTCAGTCAAAAATATGTTTAAAAAATTGGCTTAAGTGGAAGAAATTTTGCAATGCGAATGAAAAAGGTAAAGGTTTGTCAGGGAAAAAATATCATGAAACCCAAGTTTGCAAATGCAGAAATTAATTAGACTGTTTCTTTTATCGTTTTTTGTCAGGTTTGTTCAATTTCAAAGAGTAAGAGCCAAATTCAGTATTACAAATCCTAGGCATTTTGTGAAGCGGCGGTTTTATCATTGTGATCTTCATTCAGATTTCATGTTTTGCAAACAAAGGCACAATTTAAAATGTCTATTGAAATTGGTACTTTCTCCCTTCCTTCCTGATCATGCTAAAATCATTTTAAAAAAATTTTTGGGCGTCAAAATCCAGTTTTCAGGGGCACTGGGTGGATGGTGCCTGAGGAAGGCAGGACATAGTCTTGAACTGTGTATTTCACATGTATATATATGAGCCTCCTGCTGCAAAAAGAGTAGGAACTCGTGGTTGGCCCAGTGGTCAGTGCTGTAGGTTAACAGGTCCCTTGTTTAATCCCAGCAGTAATGACAAAGTTTTACAGAACTAATGAGAGGACCTGCCATAACAGATTTCATGCGGCCTTATTCCGTAAAAATTTGAGAGATAGAGCATGGATGTGTCACTTAACTGGGTCCCCAGAGTCTTTTTTTTATTTATCTAGTTCTCTAATTCCTAATACTAGCTCAAGGCATTTGTTGTGGCTGTATAATACTATATCTACTCTTCAGTCCTGAGTGAAATTGAATGCCCTTTTTATGCCCCTTTATCTTCCAAATTAATTAAAATATGCACTTTTTTCCCACAGGAATTACACATTTCTCAAAAACCAGCAGTCTAAAGCCTCGCAAAAAAATGGTCAGCAGGTTGTGTCCTCTGAAAGGAACGGCAGGGACTCTCGAGATTACTCAAATCATGACAGAAGAGAATCGCATCTCAACGGGAGCTCACGTCATTCGAAAAATGATACTAGAGACCGACACCAAATGCAATTACGGAAAGAGTCGCGTTCAATGGAGCGGCGGCGTTCTAGAAGTCATTCACCAAGAAAGTTTCCTGGAAAAGATTCCAAGGAAAATAATCGCACTCCTCTGCAACATTCCTCGAAGCCTGCAAAGTCTGGTGAAAAATCCTCTGTGTCAGAACATGCTAATAAGGATGAACATCCTTCCACTTGTGCCCTGAAAGAAAGGAAAAACTTTTCCTGCGATCAGGATCAAAAAACTCCCTCCACATCAAGCTCAAAAGTAGTTGAAAATGCAGGCGCTGCTTCCGTCAAAACAAAGAGTAACAACAGGACTTACAACAAAAATTTAGTTATAGTAGATAAATCAGTTCCTAACACAATATATACTAAACGTTTGAGGAAAAGAATTTTGGACGAAATGGAGCGAGAGAGCCAAGCCTCAGATTCACCATCAGTTGACAACCAAAAGGAACCTACTGAGAATGTGAAGCAAGCAGAATCTAGTTTAGTTGATGTGCCTCCTGTTAATAGCAAAGTAGTAAATTGTGAGCAAAATCAATCCGTCTCTATATTAAACACCGACCGTCAGTCAGATGCCTCTGTTGAGAAAAAGTCAGCATCTCGAGAAGGACAAGAACATCCACCCGTACCCACTCCCATGAAATCAGCTCACGCTCAACATGTCATCAAGTCTGTTCCAAAGAAATCTGAAGAGAAAGAGAGTTCGGTGGAAAGTCCAGCTCATGCTGCATCACTTGCTGCCGAAACGCTAGTCAAAGTTGGTCAGTGCAATAAGTTAAATGATGAAGTAGTCTCTTCAATTACTTCACAAGAACTTCAAAGTATACTACTTTCAAGTATGAACCTCCAAAAAATCAGTGAATCAGTAAATACAACTAGTAACCAGTTAAATGTAAGTTCTGATGCGAGTAAAAATCAAGAAGTAAAAGAAGAATTTAAGTCAAATAGTGTTTTTGAAAAGAAGTCCTCCGTGTCACCTGTCAATTTAGTTGCCCCGTCTTTAGAAAATGTTTCGTCGAATAGTGGATCATCGTCACTGTCCAGTTCTTTATCTAACGGTCATTGTTTCAAAAAGTTCAAAAAAGATGGAAAAACAAGGATCAACCCTATTTATATTGGACCAAGAATCTTGACTCAGAAAGGCAAGAATGATAAAAAGAACTCAAACTCAGTACGTCCAGTTACGTCCTTGTATTCTAACCTTACTAATCCAAGAAGTCCCAAAGCAGGTAGAGGAATGGTAAAAACTTTCAGTACTCCAGAAACTCAAACAAAGACTGATACAGACCCAGTTGTCAAAGATAAATTATTTTCTCTCTTTGGAAAAACCCCGGATAATAAAGAACCGTTCATCTCTAGTAATAGTGTTTTTTCAGAAAATTCATTGACAAATTTCTCGTTCCTCTCATCAAGTGACAGCCCCAAGTCTGGAAAAAATACATCTCCAGAAATAGTTTTGAAATCTGCTCCTTCTGATGAAGTAACCAACCGTCAAGTGATCCTAGAAAATCAACCTAAACGTGCTCCCTCTAGCACTGAAGTTTCGGAGAGCTTACAATCCAGGGAGGAGCAAATGGCATCTCTCTTTGGAGATGTTTCATCTGATTCTTCAGATGTAGAAATTTCTAATTTGAGTCATAGTAAACAAATTGTCAAGGATAGTCGGCAGGTAAAACATCCCCCTAAAATGCCGAACACCAGAATTTCTTCCTCCTCCCAGCAAATAGACATTAAAGTCAATGACTGTAGCGTTCCAACAGCAATTGTAACGTCGAACCTGAAGGCACCTGAAATGAGCCCTCTCTACAAAACCCCACAAAACAGTTTGGAGGTAACGCCAAATGCTCCTGATTCCAGCTTGGAAAGGCGGTCTTTCAACCTATCCCAGATTTGCATTTCCATCACACCTTTCAAAAATATCCTCGATTCTTCAAGCCTCCCATTCACACCAGCCAGAGAAGCTCTATCTCCCATTCCTCCAACGCCAATGGAAGTTGTCAAGAAAGAAGACTCAGCAACCCAAGCAAAATGTAGTAACAGCTCGTTTGAAAAATTAGAAGCAGGTCTTATGATCAACAAAGTCTCACCAACAGTTAAATCTATGCTTCCAATGCAACCAAAGGCAGAGATCATTCAGAGCTATCTACCAAAATCTACATCTACCTTAGTCAATATTAGAACTCCAACGAATACCAATTTGGAACATTCAGAAATTTCGACTGAGACAGGCACAAAAAATAGGTCCTTTGACCTCTCTAAAATCCCGTGCATGCAAACACCTTTCAAGAACAACAGTGCTGATCTATTGGTGAGCACACCGGCTCAAGCTATTTTGTCACCCATCCCACCCACCCCACATGGAGCTCTAAGTAAGGCAGCAGGCTTGAAATCAACAGAAAGTTCATCAAACTCTAGCGGTGAAAGCAAGTCATTAGATCTCTTGAAAATTCCAGTCATGCACACACCGTTTAAGAACGATGATACCAATCCACTGATCTGCACGCCGGCTCAAGCAATTTTGTCCCCCATTCCTCCCACTCCTCATGGAATGGCTGGTAAAATCTCGGAGAAATCTGAAAGCTCTGATCTGTTTAAAATAATTAAAATTCCAGATTCGACAGGTTCGCCAATGCTGATTAAAAACAATATAAACAGCAAATTTGAAGGTTTAGGTTCGTCAGAACAAAAAATAGAAATGGACAGCAAAAAAGATGAAAAACCATTAAGCTTTGAAGATGGGAACTCGAATCTTTCTGTCAATTCTATTTCAGACAAGAAACTGTTTTTATCTCCGGGCGATGTCTCAACTGCTGCTTGCTACACGCCCTTTAAAACTTTTAGTAGTGATTCTTTGCAAAGTTTTATGCGTACGCCTGCACGAGAACTTCTCTCCCCGATCCCAAAAACCCCACTTGGTTCCTGGGATATTGATAATGAAAAAACGAACAGTTGTGATGTAGGATCAGAAAATAATCCAAATAACTCTCTGTTACCCCGAGAGGATATTTATGAGAAAAATTTGGCAGTAATCAAGTCGAACAGCGCAAGAAATCAGCCTGCTGTACCTTTATCTTCACCTCCAAAAGAAGAAGGTAAACTGCTCCCATCAGTCAATAAGTATTTCATTACTCAAAACAAAGAACCCTGCTCTAAAGTAATTCAGCCATCCAGGAATGCAAGCTTGAGCAAACAGCAAATTGCTGATGCCTCTACAATTCCCAGTGTTGCACTTAGAAGTACATTAGTTACGGACAGGGGTTCACTTTCTAATACTAGAAGAATCAATAGTGTAAGGAACAGAATTTCTGAGGAAAACTCTACTTCAAGCAAGGAAAAAATTGTCAAAGACTCTTCAATTTGCAATTTTGAGAAACCATCCACTGTGATAGATAAATGTGCTGTCTTCCATAGAGATAAATCGAGCATAAACATGACCCCAACTCGTGTAGCAGAAACGATTCAAAGTGTAGAAAAATCTATAAGCATCTCCTCCCCTCCTGCAACTACAACAATTAAATCCAAGTTTTCTAACGACAGTAATTCATTCCTGGACATCAAACCTGTCGCCCGCAGAAGCACTTTGCAACCTAAAAGTAAATTGGAGGTACCGAGTGTTGTAGATTCTCATGATACTTTATCTCATCATGCTTGTACCTCTGAAGGTGTGCATCGCAAAATGAAAGTAGAACCTGAAGCCACGCATTCACCAAATAACCCAGAGAAATCTGTGAAACAACCTCAAACTGTATCAAATATTCAAGGGTCATATGTTGGTCCTGTTAATACCCCCAGTACGGTTTCTACGGTGCGTAAGACTAGCCCTGAGGGCTCTGACATTTCAGAGAGCAATATCTCAATTAGTTCAGTGAGTGAGCAGATACCTTTCCAGAGAAGCTCACGAAAAGTGCGCAAAGTTCTAATATGTTCGAATAGTGTTTTGCCCTCTGAGAAAGATGTTCGTCAGACAACTCTCCGAACCTTCAAAAAGTTCTGTCCCAGCCCAGCGAATGATTTGAAACCCAGTGAGGCCTCTCAGCAAGCCTTACATGTTTGCCGCACTCCCTCGGATTCGGTTTTGCAAAACAACCAAAGTGAAAATGTTAATTGCAATACTTCAACCATTCGTGTGAAACCCTCAGTCCTTCAGTCAGATAAAGCATCATTGTTACCATGTCGTTTGCCCTCTGAGAAAAGTGTTTCTGAGATAACTCTCCAAACCCACAAAAAGTTCTGTCCTAGCTCACCCAATGATTTGGAACCCAGTGGAGCCTCTCAGCAAACCTCACATGTTCTGCGCTTTCCCTCGGATTCGGTTTTACAAAACAACCAAAGTGGAAATGTTAGTTGCAATACTTCAACCATTAGTGTGAAACCCTCAGTCCTTCAATCAGATAAACTGTCACCTAATAAGTCAGCCTCAGAAGCAACTCAGGGTCGTAGAGCAGTTTTGCTTCCAATGGACATCGCAAATAATATTATTAGGAATTCACAACAAAAATCAAGGAACCGTCGGAATGATGCAATCAGTATATTCAAAGCCAAACGGTCAAGGTCACCATCTGTAGGCGAAAGTGACATTAATTCCAAGAGGTTTAAAAGTATATCCCAGAAAGATGAGCCAAAGACAAAATTTAAAGCTCCTGTCTGCTCGACAAGAAAACAGGCACCAGATCCTGCACAGAATGAGCGAAGGGATAAAATCAGAAATTCTAGGTCGTCTCATCGAAAGTCCGTCGATCGGAGTTCAAAGGATACAAGGAGATACAATAATGTTGCACCATCACATCGACTTCATGATCGGAGGTCTCGCAGCGTATCAAGATGTAGGTTGAACTATAGACGCTCTGTTAGTCGAAATTTAGGTAGTAACTACTTATCTCGCGCTGAAGGAAGAAGTAAACAAGTGAAGCAGCCTCATTCAAAACGAACATCCTCTAGCGTTGAATCATCTCCACCATCTACTTCCTCAGAGTCCAAGAAAGAAAACCGGGTGGACAGATTCCCTTCAAAATCCTCTGCCAAGCCAAAGAAGACTGAATTGATCTCAAACCCAATGAAAATAAAATCTCCCAACAAAGATTTAGCCCTGAAGCAAAAAATTACACTTGTAGCCCCCCGTAAGGAACGAGAAAGAACTGCCTCTTTTAACTCAAGTCTGTCCTCTGTCTCAACGAGCGATGCTCTTGGCAAGAATGAGCCCCTCTCTTTTGTAGATTGGAAGCTGAAGAACATCGATTTACCAGATGTGCAGAAGCGTTATAAAGCAGTTTACCTCTCCGCTGCAAATAAAAACATCTTTCTTCCGACAGATCCACGTATCTATAGACAGGTAAATGCACCAGCCGTGGAAGGAAAGCCCCATGGCCCACAAGCTTCGTCAACCCCTAAAACGATCAAGCGTAAAACAAAGAATGTAACTTTAGGAGACTCAACACAGGTTGTCTCTCCTATCAAGCCAATGAACTCAGCCGTTACTACAGCTCCTAATAAAGCTCATAATTCTCCAAATCCCTCTTGAAGAATGTTACTGTTTCAACTCCTAGTGTCTGTGTAGAAATTATTGTGTCTTCTTCAAAGCTGGCGCCAACACCCAATCCGTGGAAAAATGTAGAAAGATATTTTTAAGAAGAACCTGCTGATGGTTATTTATAGACTCAAAAAAGGATTTAATTCTGTGCAGATTGAAATCAGATTTTATGTACTCAGTAACATTTGTATGAGAGAGGGTGAATTGGTTCTGTGTATTTCCAACTTACCACATCCTTTTTTCTCGAGGAAATTTTTGGGACTGCCTGTCAAGTATGTTCTCCAACTTTTAAGTCTTCCATAAAGCAGATCTTAAGTAGCCTGAAAGCCCTTTTCCTCTCCAAGTGTCTTTTTTTTCTGTCAATTACAGTTGGAAGGACTCTCTGTACACTAGCCAAAGTGCTCATACAAGCATCATGAAAATGGTCAAGCACTCAACTTGGCAAAGAGCCCCTGCTATAGCACTCACATCTCCAGCGGTACCCTGAGGTATTGTCAATACTAAATGATGAGGAAAATTGGAGAAGGAAGGCTCTGGTGTGTTTTGTTCTGCAGAACAATACAAGGTTTAAGCCAAGGAGTCAGACTTTATTATTGCCAGGTAAAGTCGACCATTTTCATGGTGTGTACATTCCAGCTGAAAAGGCCGGGTTCTTCTAATACCAGCCATTACCTTGAAGAGATACATCCTTTCCTACAGTGAAAGGATCTTCATTGTTTCCAATGTATTTCAAATGAAGTAAAATTCCCATTTAATTTGCACCTGCTTTGGTAAAATAGTTGTGATCTGTCTCAAGAATCATTTGGCATATGGAAGTAGTAGAGGGCTCAAGGCCAAAAATGCATCATGATCTCATTGTCCAGTACTGTTTTCTTCTTTCTCTCATATGCACTAGCTCATCATATCAGTATTTCATATTTAAAATGTCGCATCATAAATCTTTTAAATATTTGAGATTTTATCGCTGAATCGTTTTAATGGATCAACCAATTTTTCTTTTTCTGGTTTGATTTCTTTGCCCTGAGAATGCTCTTATAATTTAAGTGTTTTCTCTTCACCAACATCAGCATTCTCACGTTAAAAAAACCAAGTGGCAGGAAATACTTCATCAAAGAGTTAAAGGGCATATCTTAAAATACTCAGAATTTTTCCTAAATATTTCTTTTCTTTTCTTTCCAGTCAATGCTCTTGTTTGCAATTTTTAATTCAATATTTTTTTTTCATGACGACAAAAAAATTGTTCACAACAAAACATTATTGATTACTTTATTTCAGATTTTGAGTTATGTCTTTGATATTTTGTTACAACTTATTAGGGAAGCACTTTGCTGTATTTCCAAGTGTCTATACTATATCAGTAGGAAGTTGTATTTAAAGTTTAGAGTACAAATAAGCATTAATTTTTTCTAAGAAAAAATCGAGTATTAAGAAAACGTGAAGTCTTGAAAGGAGGTAACAGAAGATCAGTATACAGGCTTTGGTGAGGAACACTTTTGACTGGAAAATTTCCCTGCTACATTTATTGTTTCAAGTAGAACCTTTTTTTTCATTCTGCATTGATGTCTCTGTTTTCATTCCTAGCTCTTGCGCCAACCAGTCTAGTTTCTCTGGATCTGTGTGCAAGCATGAGACTTCATGTGAGATTCATTAATCTATGGTAAATTATAACAAAATATGAGGAAAATAGTCTGTCACATCCCATTGTAGTAACTCTTTAAGAAAATCAGCAAGTGCCTTTCTTTTCTGTATCTGTACTCTCTAAAACGGTATGGTCGATTTTATCTTTTCTAGGCATTTTTGTTTCTAATGTCACTCAGTACCTTATCTAAGAATTTAATTTTGTATTTCAACTCCTCTTTTCCAGAATATTCCTTGTGTGCCATTACACACAGGTTTTTATTTCTGCTTGTAAAAACTTGTCTCTTGTTTTCATTTTTAGTTTTTAATTCTAATAATTGTACAACCCTGATTGTTGGCAGAGTTTTAATTATCCTATGAATGAACTTTAATTTGTTTGATGCTAGCCATCAGTAAGAATACCATTGATGCATTGGATGTTGGAAGACGCTTTCAAATGTCTTGTTTTAAATCATCTCAAACTCATAGTTTTAGTTTTATTTAGGTACATTAATTTCCGCTGAATCACCTTCTTTTTTTCTTTAAATCGTAGTATCAGCTCTGATGAATAAGACTTGAAGTATCATTGCTTTGAGCAGTCTTCAGTGTCCACCAACTTTGATAGTTGTACCTTGCATAGTAGTTTTATCTACAAGCCATCCTGCGCTGCAAGTTAATGAGGACTTTATTATAGCTTTACAAGGAGTTGTCAGTCATTAAAGGACTGAGAGAATCATGGCAATTGAAACAATGCTGGTGCTTTTTGAAGTGTAGCAATTGAGATTCAATGACTCGGACAACTAGTATGTGTCAGCTTTGTAAAGCTGTGAAGATAGTCCAACTTGGTACGTGATGTGCAATACATTAAAAAAATATCAGTTTTACTACTCGCTTTTCTGTTAAAATAATATTGTTGAACTTCAGTAAGATCTTTTGGCTTGATATAAATTGTATGCAAAGTTGTACAATCTCAGTGTCATAACGAAGCATCATATGAGCTTGTTGTGAATGACTTTTCAATTCCCATGTTCTTCAGTGTGGCTAGCTTGCATCAGAGTAGATTTTATGTACTATGAAGAAGTGCACAGGAGCAATTTATGCTGTCAAGGCTTTTTCTTGAAAGCGTCTTTTTTGTACTCAATGCTTCAATTGTGTTGTGAAGCATTTGTAAAAATAACTGTAAATAAGGAAGATCTAGTCTATTTTTTCAACAGGTTTTGAAGTTTGATAATATAAAATTGGTTCAATACTTTACAGATAATCTTATCATTGATCTTTTCCTGCCCCTGAACTCCTGACAGCTAATCTAAACAACCCAAGCCCTCTTTGAACCTGGGGTTTTTGTAGTGGCATTCAAGTGCCATGACCACTCGACCTTAGAGGACAAATTGGTACATCATGTGGACTGAGTTTGATAGAGATGCATAAGTTGCATCGAGTTTGAACCAAGAAAAAGAGGTTTTAAGATTCAATGGTTAAGAAAAAGTCAAACAGCTATTTTCACGTTCAAAATTTTTCCTTCTCAACTTGGAATTTTTGACAGAAGAAAATTTACAACTAGTTGAATTTAAAACCAACTCATTTCCCCCAAAATGTAACTTGATGCATTTCTCTTAAACTCAGTGCGAACATCATACAAAAAAATTATTCTCTTTTAAATAAAAAAAAAAAATCTTTAACATTACATTTTTATTTTAAACAAAAACTACAGTAAGTTCTCAATTACAAACAAATGTAAAATTCAAACACATCTGCCACTGCTCAGGCTGAGAGTTTTGATGGCTGAGGAAAGAAGGACATTAAAAGGGGGCAGTGTCCGGAAATCGACCCTAATGTCAAGCTCAACAAATCTTAAACTAAGATTTAAGAGAGTCTTAACAGTTTCAACACATTGAAAAATTAAAGAGTCTGTGATTTGAATACACCTTCACACAAAAGTTGTAAGTACAAAAAGAGAAAATATTACATGCAACCTCTTTTGAAATTAAATACAGAAGTTTAAAGAAATTCAATTTGGTCATTGAAGTAACAAACGGCTCAACCTGATTGAAACAAAGCAACATTTTGACTTGTTATTAAATGCACAGCACTTATCTATTTTTGGGAGGAACCAACTTTGACGGCCTCTTACAAAAACTACACATCTGCTACTGATTTCATGATAGAAATAAGTTCTTACATAAATATTTCCACTCAATTCTGGCCCTTTCAATAAATGAGCTAATTCCAATTGAGAGCTACGAACTATTTCAATGGAAATAATAGATCAAGAACACATGGATCTTAAAATAGTTCCAAAATGCGAAATATACTTGCTACTTTTACAAAAATGTGAATAGTTGAGACTTCTCATCAACTACAAACTACATACAGAATAGAAACCTTCACTGAATTACCAAAGAATCTTACTCTCTTGTTGGTTTCTTTTGAATCAGCACACAATACTAGTCGAACTCGAGACATTCAACCTGTCACTTAAAAACAATTATACCTCCAAGAGGGGCAAAAAATCTAAGATAATTGAACCCTATTTCATGAAAATGTCTTCAAAAAAGGTCCACTCACTGTGTAGAGGTTCTTTTTAGGAATTTATTTACTCAAAAATCACCCGCTTCTTTTAAAAACAAGGCAACTACTTTTCAGGATGTATCACAATTCCATGAGTCATGACCTCTTTTCTTCATATTCAGTAAAGAGTTTAAAATGGGCCATTAGACATGGTAAGGATTAGAGCACCACAAGACTTCTTTCCTTGTCATAATTCTGAGCAGAATACTTTTGACATGACAAAACTGATGCATGGGAAATTCAATTTGTAAAGCTTAAAGTGTCCGAAAGGTTAGGATAAACATCATGTAAAATAATAACATAACATACATCATAAACATTTGACTGGCGTTGCATTTCTTGATATTATGAGCAGGGCCTATTGATTTTTTTTTAAAGTCTGCCACATTCTGCGTTAAATTTTGATGAGAAAATACGAAGTGTTGTTGTACTTCATTCCTTACCCTGCTTAGTGGTCATAGGTCTTAAATATTCAACTCCTGGGTACAATAAATTGATAAAATACAGGAAAATGCAAAAAAAATTGGAATAAAAGACTTTATCAAGCACAATTAGGTACAGACGTAATGTACACAATTAGGAAAGAAAAAAAAACAAACGACTTTGATATAAGTGTGAGGACCTTAAAACATAAGAGTGAACATGACTGAAGTTTCTCAAATCAATTTTCAAGTGATTGCATTATCCAGAGTTACATTTTAAAATAAAACCTAACTCTAAAACTGAATTTTGTTTCATCCTGAATAACTTTCTAGCTACTGAACCTTTTATGATTCACCAAGGCACAAATTAAAATTAGAACACTCTTCAACTACATCAAAAAATACGGCTCGCACTGGAAAATACCTAAATTTGAATGAAGACCAAAATTTCAAGCCTCATTGGAAGGTGAATTTACTCTATCCTGATCAAGAGGTTAAAACTTTTAAATGAGTCTGTCTCAGAAGCTACCTCATTCAGTTTCGGCGATAAAAAATCAAGCACCTTTTTCAATCTTTCCTGTGATCTGTTCCTGAATGCACAGTTTTTGTAGAATCATGAGTCTGGGCCAGAAATTTTTGGTTAATTTTTGGGCAATGTTTTTCCTTACAAGAAAACCTGCTGAACTATAAACAGGGTCTGAATCATGGACTAGCATTTTCCGTAGTCAATGGTATGACATTATTCATATGAATAGTTTGCTCCACTGTGCAAAGCTCAGAGACCATTCATTTCCATTTTGTCCTCATAATACTGTGAGAAAAATTAACTCTAGATATATGATACTAGAACACAGGCAGCACAAGCTGTTGGGTCATGATCTGAGCTTCCTTATTTTCATGGAGTAATGAATATGTGTAAAAGAAAGAAAAAATGATTACCAATGATGATGATTAATCATTGTTATAAATTCGAAGAAATAAAAAGTAAGTTTCCAGCTTCCACGAATTGAAAAACAAAAATTATAAAAATTAAAAGTCCTCTTTGAGGCCACCATGAATTACAACTATTTGCAAAAATATGCTCCGTCTCAGAACATCTCAACTAGGTCATCACGTCACTGGGCCATTGAATCACCTTTACTAGGCTATAAGTATTCAACTGTTCATGTCTTCTGCGACATTGCATATTATTCTCATCAACAACACTCTTGCTCAATTAATACATCGTTTTAAGGTTCATTTTTGCTACCATCCTCTTAATACAAAGGCTGTTCCAAAAAAACTAAGAGTTGGCCTCTCCTAAGAAAAGTATTTAGGATGTCGAAATGCAGTTTGTAATTTTGATGATAACTTGATTAGGGAAGTCCCTATTGCCATGTGCCTAAACCCTATTTAATTCACAGTTCTGATAAGTCTTCACGGAGTGAATTAAAGTGACTTAAAAATAAAATCTGAAGGGTATTTTTCACATGTTGCCAAGGAGGCACTTAGGAAACGTAACTTTTCTATTAAATGAGCACAACAATGGCTTGTTAGAGAGCTCACAAACCAAATTTTAAATATTTTTTTCAAAACCAGGCCAATTCTATGTTTTTGTTTTTTTTTTTTTTTTTGNCTGTTAAAAAAAAATCATGAGAGATAATTAGGCAACATTAAATGCAGTTGTCAAATCCGTCCAATTGTGTGACCAAGAGTTCTTTTGGGTTCTCAATTGGACTATCCTCATGAAAAAAATGCTATCTATGATGAGTTCCATCTGTGGAAATTCATACTTTTCTAAATGATATCCAGTCATTCTACATACAAATAAAAACTGTTACCTACTAGATTTTTCACAATTTATTTCAACAAGAACAGTAATGAGATTGATAGAGTACCACAATAATTACAGATTCAAAAGGTGGATTGATGCTATTCACTCAGGAGCTAAATAGCATGCAACATTGGGTCGCACTCAGCAGAAGGGAATGGATGCAATCACAGTGTTGTAAAAATCGTGCATCTTCATCTAACAAAATCCTTGAGTATCAAATAATTTTTGTTTTTCTTCCAAAAAATGGTTCATTCAAGAGAGAAATGCTCGTGTTACTACTGAGCAAACAGGTATTTGGCATTTTTTAAGAAAAGGTTGTGGATTTTTAAAACCCTATAATTACATTGGTTCCCTTCCACTAAATGCAATAGAAATCATTTTTTGGGCATTGTTTTGATGCAAGAGTTGTTTCATCTTGGGATATTTTACTCCACCACTTTGCATCGATTTCTGCATGAAACAGAAAAATGACAGGACGAATCATCTCAAGTTTGACTGATTATAACACACTTGTTGATGGAAGTCTTAGCTTTGAGATGAGTGATACTTACATCCGAGGGAAAATCAACAATTTCTAATTTAGCTGCTATATCTGGGAAAAGCCCCATTGCCAAAGCTAGAACAACACCAGCTGAGCCAACTATACTCCATAATAGTGGCCTGTTTTCAACTAAACTTTCCATGTATGGGTGCCCCTGGAAATAGAATACACAATTCAGAAGTTAGTATGATAAATATATGCTAGAGAAGTTTCAAAATTATTGTATCTTACAGCTTGAATAATAAACAGAATGAGTAAGAATTCAATATCATTGGGAACTCTTACAGATTAAGGAGGTTTTTATGAATTAAACTTTGACCGCCACCACCAGAAATGAATCAAGATAACTTGGCAGGAAAGAAAGATAATACTAATTGTACTGGTTTATGCTAAAAGGAACTACATTGCCGACAAACCCTATGTACATAGTTCTTTTGAGAATACATAAATGGGTTAAATGCTGGTTCGCTGATTTTTAATATTTAAAACAAAAAAAATGTGGATTTCAAGGCTGAAACTGCAAGCAGTGAGAATGAATTTTTCACTTTTCGCTCAAGTATTTTTTATCTTTTCAAAACAGAGCTAAACTTAATTATTTTTTAAAGTTTTCATTAATAATTTTGATAAAAGAAAAAACAAGGACACACAAATTTTTGGGACTATAAATATTACTTTTTTCTGAACAAATAAGTGGTAGAAGGAAAAAAGCGAAGTTGCGAACCAAGAACTCATCATCGGTATAGTCCCGCTGCTGATGAGATAAAAGAAGTTGCAAGGACAGAAATTCCATCTAACTGCTCCCCAAAATTTTTTGGATTCTTAAAAAATTGAGAGGGGAGGATCTAAAGTACTGATGTAAAAGTCAAAATATCTTGTATCTATCATGTTTTGGTTTACAGGCTGCAGAACTTACGATGGTTTTTTTCCCTCCTCATTTGCTTGAATTTTTGGAAAGGAAAATACAAAGGTACTAAATTTTGCAGCAAAAGATTTTATCTTACAAAAATATAAATCTATATAAACATTTGAAGACTTACCCGATAGTTGATGGCAAAAGTTGCTATTTGCAGAGTCATTGCAATAATATATACAGCACTATTAAGAAGACTAGCTTCAAAAGGTACTTCCTCCTCAGCATCTGGTGATTCCACTTTAGGCGCATCACTTTTCTTCGGAGGCGATATGAGGCTTGCTTGTTGGACGAGGAATATCAAGCAAGCAAAGTGAACAAAAAACTGCAGCATGACTGTAGAAATTGTATAAAGGTTGAAGATATTTGGCAGCGGCCTCTCTTTCGACAGCACCTTCAGAGGTTTTGACCGAGATATGAACAGGAAACACGCAGCCAGGAGTAGACCCTGGATGGTTGCTTGTACATCACTAAACTTAATACCCTCAATATACAAAACTGACTGACTATACGCTAAAATCAGTGCATTCAAAGCAAGAATTTTGAACATTTGAAGAGTTGTTACTAATGTACAGCGCCCCTGTTTGATTACATGACATATACACATTATTGATGAGAGTTTGCTAGTGAATGGAGCCGCAATACTTGCGTCACCTAGTTTCACAAACTGCGGTTGATCAGCTTCATTGATTTCTTTAAGCATTTTGTTCATCCGTGAATTCAGCTGATGGTTGAATGATTGTCTATGGTGAGAAGGTTCGCGGAATGGTCGTGAAGGTGAAACTTCTTTTGGCACTACATGCTTTTTCTTCTCCGGCATTCTTTCAGGAGCATTTGATATGATTGCCACGCCAACATCTGCATGTTTCAGAGCACCAACATCATTGGTTCCATCTCCACACATGAGTGTTGTGAAGCCAACGCTTTTCAGGGTTGTTATGACAAACTCTTTCTGGGTGGGGGCAACTCTTGCAAAAACAGCAACATGAGGCAGGATTAGATGGAAGAGACTCTTGTGATTTTTGATCATGTGAACCAAGCCCTGGAACATTAAAAGGAAACATTGGATTTAGTTTCAGAGTTTCAGACTTGCGCATTTAAAAGATGAGAATCAACAAAAAATTGAAAGACAATACAAAAAGATTGAATTCTTTTAAAAAAAAATGCTAAAGATTTTTTAAAAAGTGGGTCAATAAGTCTTTAAGTCCCCCATGCTAGAACAAAACCTTCAGAATATCAAAACCTACTTTGGCCACATTTTAATGTACAATATTCATTAAATATTTATTGAAAGTAAAGGTGCAAAATAATTTCACTCACTCATTCAGATGGCATGTCACAGGACCATTCTATAGAAGAAGGGTTTTTTCAGTTTTCACGGAGGATTTCTCTGTATCCAGAACAAATTGTCATATAACAGAAAATTTCTTCAAAAATTTTTTTGAGGCTATGATTTTGATCCCTTAGCATGCAAACTCTTTTGCTATCAGATATTCAGATTTGGCTAATTTCATGCGATGAAGGGCTATCTGAATAGAAATTTGAAAAAATGATCCTTGAAAGTTGGCCTTACAGTAAGCAACACAGTGCATAATAAGACCTCAATTTATCGGTTTTATGAGACTGACGAATCGATCCGTTGAATGACAGAATGCACTAATTTGAATTAACTTGAAGCCTTTGATAGAACCAGAAGACGATCCGTTAAATTGTGATCCAATAAATCTAGGTTATACTGTACTTTGGTGACTTGTGAATTCTTCAATTATTACCACTATTTCGGCACACATAAAAAACTGAGGATGAATAAATTGTCTACTGATGATTTTTTTCCAACGTTTCCTTGAATTACAGCATGTTTGAGATTTTTCTTCAAGTAAGGAGCACTGAAAGTTTCTTATGAAGGTTTAAAGTTTACTTATGGTGTCCTCTCTGCTCACATTTACTTGAAAAATTGCACAGAGCATCAATGAAGATGTATAAGAAGTCTGAAACTTACCTCTCCCGTCAGGCAAAAGTCGTAGCGCTTAATAATCTTTCTCACAACATCTTCTGGCTGTGGGAAATTGACAGAAAAACTCTCATCAATCGTCTCCCATTTCCAAGTACCATCATCGCATTCTTTCAATACGAGTATTCCTTTCTTCGACGTGAACTGAAGTTCTTTTGCCACATGACAAGCAGTTAGTGGATTGTCACCTGTAATCATCATAACCTAAAACAGAAAAAAAGTGTTTATTTCACAGATTAAAATCGAGTAATCAAGACCTACTTTCTCCAAAACTTAGATGCCATTACAACTGTTGGTGCTATACCTCTAATTTTTTACCTCTCATGTCACATAATCTAATGGGACGTTTAAAGTGCGGAAGATAAAGACAATGTTCAGTTAAACAAGCTGACAAGCTAGAATCATGAATTTTCCCATCCATTAACCACGTAAAGGAAGTTCAATTACCATTGTATCATTTAGATTACTGATATGCTGACTGACTTAAAAAATCCCGGAAAGTTTGACTGTCAATCATGAATTTCGATTAGTCATGCAAAAAGTTGGAAGAATAACCTCAAGCTTTGGACTCAATTTAACTCTAGCTTGTACATAGCTCAACTTTGAGAGATTTTTTGAACTTGGGAGTTCGTTTAATAGAAAACCAGTGGCACCATCATATTTCTCGCAAAATTTCATGTACAAAAATATATTTAAATCGTAAGCACATATGAGTGATCCATTGACCCAGGAACCAACAGAGTGATACAAAACAAGGACCTCATTCTCAAAAAAATGCACTTACTGAATGTGAAGCATGAACAAGCTCTCGTATCGCTGCTTTGGAGTCTGTTTTCAGAGGACAAGAGATGATGATGAATCCAACAAAGTGAAGCTTATTCTCAAGATCTTCCCTTGAGATATCTTTGGCTTGTTGTGGACTAATCCGACCAAGTTGTTTCCATCCTAGAGCAAGCACTCTGGCGCCACGTCGGGATAGTTCCAGATACACTTCATCGTACGAGGGGTCAAGATCTTTGAACTGAAAAACAGTTTTAAAATTGAAAATTGATAAGCTATCTATTTAAATGTGAAAAACAACTGGACACAAAAACACAGTTCATGCAATCTAAAGAGTAAAAAAATCAAAAACTTCTTGAAGTTTCAACCACTTTTAAGAACCATTCGTGTAATTATCTACAGTTTTTTCCCCATATTGTGAGTCCAAATTGTCAGTTTTTGGTTATCTTTAAAGGTAGATACCCACTGCCTTCATAGTAAGGACATATTTTCAGACTACCTTTGTTACGCTTTGTTATTTCTTAACAAAGAGCATTTTACACTTGACGATAGACCAGTAGACAAGGGGCGAATTTAAGCATTATGATAAAAGTTTTCACATCAAATTTTCTTGTGGAACGCGATTTGTACGACAAAAATTACTTACAGTAGCTCCTAACCAAGAAACTTTATATTTCTTTATTTTCTGTCCGTTACCAATTGAGACATTACATACAAAGACAAACATATCTATTAAATGAGAGGTGAGAAATGTGATTACCATTGGTTTCAAAACTTCTGGGGCTCCTTTAGCTGCAGCGATGAACAATGTGTCTGTGGCTGCAGGTTGCATGTAGCCAGCGACAACAGACATTCGCTTAAGAGCTGATGAGAAATGGTTTCGGTGGAAAATTTTAAGTCCTGTGGTGTATTTTGTCGTTCGTTTTGGTATCACAGCATCTCCTGAAACATTTATTGAAATGAAATCAAACTGTACAAAGAACATATTTATATGCTTAAAAGAGCAATTTCTGATGTCCAACAATTTTGAATTCAAATCCACTTGAACATTATTACCTTTTAACGTTTATTAACATTTTTTTCCATTATCTGGCTTTTCCCTTACTCCAGGATGAATTTCCCTGATCTTTATGTATGAGGCTGACAAAGACTTGTTGACAAAACTTGGTTATTTCAATCTTGTTGGTTATGAAAACAACTAACGGACACACACATGGGTCAAATAATCAGAAAGTGTTCCACATGCCAGCAGTTTGCTTTGAGGCTGGGCGATGGCACCATTGTTCTCCATGATAGGACACAATTATCAGCTAGTCCCACTACCCGAACGCAGTACGGTCTGATACAATATGGATATGGAAATGCTGCAGATTCGTAAAAACCCGAAAAATCAAAGAAACCCCTGAGCAGCAAAAAAATTTTTGGTATTTTCCCAGTTGGTATTTTTCCCTTGACTTTTTTTGGTTTTCCAGGTCACTTACCATCCTGACACGCTAATAGCAGAAAACATCTAACAGTACATAATAATTTATACAAAAATATCTCTGAGATCAGGTTTCAATATCTCATATTTAAAGAGTATAAGAACCCGTTTAAAAACCACTTCCAAATCTTCGGGGAATCATTGTAAACAATGAATGCTGACTCATCTTGGAGGAATGAGAAGTGAGGGATTTGGAAAACTTAAGGAGGGATAAAACCGTGAATTACCTCGAGTCAATTGCCAATCAATGGCAGTTAGAGTTGCTTTCTCCAATGGATCACCAACCAAACCTTCATCGAGCTGAACAAGTGAGTGACAGGTTGCTAAGACATGTACTGTTTCATTTGGCGCCTCATTAATTGGGATGACAGCTTTCGGCGTTTTACTGGTGGAAAAAAATAAAAAGAGTGAGCAACTTACAGCAAACAAAGAACAGAAATGTAAAGCTATGATGGATAGTCTTTACGAGAAGAATATGGCCATGACTGCTGAGACTTGTACTATACAGCATTTTTTAACCTAACCAATAGCAACAAGGTCCAAATATGTAGTATCAAAATCATAAAAAAGTGAATAATTCTAATTAAAGCTGAGATTGATTGGTCACAACTCGCCGTAAATTTCCCAATTCATTTCAGATGCATACGAGTCTCTTGTCAGAAATGAAAATTGAAGGAATCTCAAGGCATTTGGATCAATTCTCACTCAAAAATATCAAGATCTTTGAGACCAACCATTAAACTATGGCTCAAAAAGAGTTTGACACAATAAATACTTGAGGAAAAAATTGAAAAAAGTATGCTTATAATAGCGGTGGCATGATTTAATAATCATTTCGTCAGTTTTTTGTCTTGAATGAAATTTTTAAGGTATTTTTACACTTTTTCATCACTTCCTGATTACACCTGCATCTTCTCAAATAATTGCCTACGAGAATGGAGAGGCCGTAACTAGTCAGTTTTATGACATCAAGCTAGTAGATATTTACCGAAAACAACAAGCATCTCCGGGTCATTGGTGCATCGATGAGTGAGGCAATCGCTGCGTGGACCAATCAAAGTGGCCCTCGACGACCGAACTTGCGTGAGCAGCGCGTTTGAATCTGAGTAGAGTAACGATTTTCGGTATTAAGCCTTCATTTCCTCGATTAGCAGACAATGTCATAAATGGATTAGTTAGTTTTATAGCATGAAATTTCATCCTCTTTCGAAAAGATTCTTATGAATTTTTGCATCAGATCAACCCCCGAGAAGATATCGGCACGAAAGGAACACGCATAAGAAATTCTCCCATAAGAAAACATGTTAAACCGCGGCCGAGTTTCATCTACTAGCATGACATCACAAGAACGTAGTTATGGCCTCTCCATTCTCGTAGGCAATGCTCAAATTTGTAAAAATGACAAAAAATAATTCCTTTGGACAATACACTAGATTTAGGGAGGAAAAAAGAAAACTGATAACGACAAAGGGCTCTATCTCTACTCATGGAACAAAGCGAATTCATGTGAATGAACTATAATGGAATAGACTTAACTGCCAATTTAAAGTTAGAAAGTGTTGATGGTTCCGCCAGAGCATGTTAAAAGTTTAGTATATAACTGACATTCTACAAAAGAGAGAAATAGCTCTTAAAACAAAGCACAAATTTTCTTTCAAGAGAGTTTTGCTGTTTAATGCCACACTAGATACTTGCTCCATCAGTAATTAATTTGTGCTCAGCTCTGAGCTATTCCTCTCTTTGATGGAAATGTCAGTTTTATACTGAAATTTCAATGGAGGAATCACCGACACTCTTAAAACTATGCATAAAGCCACGGACAGAATCTATTTGCGATTTAAAGTCCAATTCCACATTTCTTAATTTATTATTTCACAATTTTCATACCCAATTCCAGCAATGCCTTCTACAACAAGATTATCGCTTGTTAACGTTCCAGTTTTGTCAAAACAGCAAATTTCCACTTTCCCAGCGAAAGGAATACGGAAAGGTTCTGTGCAAAACACACCTGAAAAAAAAAACAGTTGGGATGTAAACAAGGGCATTCTTCACAGCATTCCTAACTTCCATACAGTTTCCACACGCTATCGAATTTTAAGTGTTTCTTGATCTATTAAGAATTTTTTTGTTCAAAAAAATATTTATCAATCTTTGTGACTCAGTTCACAACTACTAAAACATAAATGGACCGCGTTAAACAGAAAGGAACCAAGCCACATCGGCCATTGTCAAATTTAATCGAGCAATTTAATTTTTTAAACGAAAACGGATGTACGGATTTTCGTGCAAATTTCAGTGGATTTTCTCTACGGTACAAAGCAAATTTCTTAAAATTTTCAAAGGAATCCACACAAACATTCTCTCGTAAAAAATTAAATTGCCCAATTAAATTTGGCAATAGCTGATGTGGCTTGGTTCCATTCTGTTAAACGCGGTCCAAATAACACTAGACTCATTTTGTTAAACTAAATGTTTGTGTTCTTTTCTAATTGGGTCCTTGTATACAAATACAGCACTACACTATACAGCACTACTACTTGTCACCAGCACTACAAATGTGCAGATGATTCTCCACGACCTAGATTAGCTGGGGTTAACTCAACCTCGACCTAAATTGGTGAAAATTCTAGAAATTGATAAAAATTAAACACTAGAATTTGATGGGAGCTTATTTTAGATTTGTTAACTAGACCACAAACATCAACTATTTTGCTGTAAAGTAAGCTTGTAAAGGATTACAGGACAGAGAAAGCATGTTAAAACAGGCAGATAACAGTCACAGTGAGTTTAAAACATGCTTAAGACATGCAGGCGTCTTTCATATTTTGCTACTTGATCTGCAGTACTATAAGATACTCGCTAGATACGCACTTACTGATCCGCGTCTCAGCAGCGTATAGTTACTAAATCAGAAGTTCAGATAATTGGATAATTCTGAGTCTTTTAAGTGATTAAATTTCTGTACATAACTAAAAAACTGACAGTTTTAGGTAAATATTTTTCTTAATATTGTTTTATTTTTCAAAAATAGAGTTACCAGGGATACTAACCTAACTTTGTAAGTGATAGAATAGATGTGTTAACAGCAAGAGAAAGCTCAATAGGTAACTCAGGAGGAACCACAGACGTTAAAATGAGAGTGCACTCCAGGAACAGCTTGTAGCGATTGTGTTTGGGATCCTCGCATCCTAAAATAAAAATTCATGTGAGAGAAAAATACTACGGAAACATGAAATATTAAGATGCATGACCTGAAAAACCTTGGATATTATTCTGCTGCGCTGAGAAAAAACGCCACATGCACCTTTAGGAGTTACCAAAGTTTCTTTGATAAGACACAAATTTATTTGTACTATGAGAGTTGTAAATATTATTCTTTCAATTTTTCGGAAGTTTTCTTTGACATTTTCATCTGAAATGTCTGGAATTTCAAAAACAAATATGCATAACTTTCCTCCAAAATAATTTTTTAATCCAGGGATATTTAGCAATATTTTAATGTGTCTACAGCATTTCTCCTAAGCATGGCAGCATTGATGCGCAAGTGGTCTAAAATGGTTTCTGAGCGAAAGTTAGATCAGCTGATTTTAGAGATCATCTCACATAAAAAATAAATGAGTCCCCCTTTTTCTTTTCTTTTTTCCCCTTTCAATTTTAAATAAGTTTGCCATTGGGAAGATATCCAAGAGTTTGAAAAAAATGAATTTGTGTTTTTGAGGCAGGCGCAAATGTATCGCTTAACCTCATTCAGAGATGTTTATGCTGGGTTCATTTCATTTTAAACAAGCTTTATCTTTTGCTCCCTGCTTTTTTGATTCTCTGAGCATTTACATTCAATATTACCTTTGATCCAAACATATGATGCAGCAGCAATGGCGAATACCAGTAAGAACAGAATGAAGCCAAAAGTTTCTAGATTATTAGCAGTGACTCGCTTCACACCGAATAAAATTGTGCGGAGAAGTTTTCCTTGCGCTGTGTTAAATCCTGTTCGCAAAACGTAGGCTATGCAACCATTGTCATGAGCTGTAAGAAGCAAAAATGATAAATAAAACAACATTGCTCCAGGCCATTTAAGTGATGTCAAATAACATTATTTCTCAAGTTTTTGAGTTTTTTGGGAGGGAAAGGCAAAGAATGCTTCAAAATTTTGAGAACACCCACAGGCTGTATTGTAAATCTGATGCTGACTGCTGTATTGCAATCTGATATGGAATGACTAAACTCACACTACATTTACTCCATAAAAAGTAAGAAATAATTGAATACATAGAATAGTCTGCAGTGTGGTGATTCTATTTACATGTAACGGCTCAATTTGAAGGAAATAAATATTATTATTTTTTATTATTTTTTTTTCAAAAAAAGTTATTTAATTCTTTTGAAAGGAAGCAATGTTAAAATTTAGAATTGAAGGGTAGATAACTAAAAAAAAAGAGTATACTCACCTTTCAGTCCTCCAGAGGTTTTACTTGGTGGAGTGTGCTGCACAACTTTAGTACCACCAAAAATTACATGCAACTTTCCATTTGTTTCAATATTTAGATCTTCCTTCAGATCAGCATTTTCTAAGGGCTCCTTCATTTGTGGCACTGATTCTCCTGCAAAAAAAAAATGAATTTTTAAAGCCAAATTAAAAAATTCCTTGGGCTTCAACCTTTCTGTCAGTTTTCCTATTTGATCGATGTTAAGATTCCGAACTTGAATGCATCAAGTAAGTAGCGAAAGTGAAGATTGCGGGATTTATCACAATTTAAAAGCGTGAGTTAGTTACATACTATGAGACCACTCAGGGAACACGTGCTCGTTGAAAAATATTTCACATAGTCTCAATAATAGAATTGATACAGTGCGGGATGACAAGATATATTCAGATTCTCTCCTTAGAATTTCATTAATCGAATGAATATTATATCGTCAATCAGACGAATTATTTGACAATTGATCTATCTCATCAGGTAGAGAATTTTCAGGACCGAGCATTGAGTCAGAGTTGCCGCACCAATTTCAGTAATTGCCGAATTATTCACGTCCAACTTTGAATAAAACCCTATAAAAAATATTATTGAAATATTCAATAGACTCTGGTTCAATAGAATTTTTTCTTAATGTTTGATCCAATTCAAAGCCATAAAAACACACATACTTACCCCAGCTATTTGGACTCATTTAACGTACCTGTCAACATGCTTTCATCCACAATGCAAGGTCCTCGAAGAAGGAGTAGGTCACATGGCACTGGATTATCAGAAGGTGATCGCATTATTGATACAATATCTCCTGGTAACAACTGATCGCTGAGAATGGAGCGCCATCTTTTATTTCGATACACCTGCCAAACAAGTCAACGTTGCAGGATTAGAGTTACTTATTGCAAGTGTTTCGTTTTTTTATCAACTTACAACCCCTCCCACTACGTACAAAAAATACAAACAAAATCAAATCAAATATTGCTTTATGGCATTGGATTGATTTTTTCCTAGGTGTTAACACTCGGCTGCCCTGTTGCACGTAAATATAAGAGCCTAATGTTGTGAAAAGGAACATTATCTTCCTGGAGAAAATTTTCTTTGAGTTTTTGGTAATGCATGAGGGAGGAAAATTTTGGGAATTTTAGCTTTAAGTTGACCGTGGTACCTACAAAATTGAAGGAGATCTGCAGCCTGAAGTTATAAAACAAAAACTCTTCGGTTATACAAAAACGTGAATAAGGTTTTGGAAGACAGTGACGAAACTTTTTTTCCCCTTTTCACAGATCTAATCACACATGTTGATAAAAATTCGGAATATAAACATTCCTGCAGACAGTAGCCAATTAAACATCATTTAGAGAAAAGAAACCATGTGACAGTTGACTTGAAATAAAGAAAAATAGATTAAGTGGTTCATTTTTTCATGAGGCTCAAAGAACAAATTTTACATAAATTTCCGAGAACATACTAAATATTTTTTGAGAATTCACCATTTTCGGCGAGAGTAACAAATTGATGTTCAAGTTTAGAGTGTTTTGGTCTTTCCATTTGGTTTTGTGTAATTTTCCAACTTTGGATGGGCTTTGTGACGCAGAAAAATCTTAGCTTTCGAGAAGATTTCTTTTTTCCTTTCATGATGCACTGGACAGATTTAACCAATATCAGCCCAACTAATATGACATGGCCTAATTTTTTTTTTTTCATGTATTATTTTATTGACAAAAGAGTAAACAACAAAGCATATTAAAATTCTCTGTGGATTTCCCATGAATCATAAAAAATAGTTACAAAATTTCGAGTCAGAACGATGCTTAGTTTTATGTTAAAAAAAAAATAAAACATGAGTGGAGATCAGGCAACATCTCATATCATGTCTATAAACTGATCCCTGCCATGAGCAACTTTCAGAAGAGGTAATTGATTCAATTAACAATAAATCTAGGAAATTGTAAATTAACCAATACATTAGAATTATTTTTACATGATTTGTAAAAGTAAGGGATACTCTACTCACTTGTAAAGGGTAAGGTTTGTTCCCCATTTTTCTGATTTCAGCCATGTTTCGCAGTTGCTGTTGCACAAGAGTAATCTCAAATAAAACAAGCATGAAGAGGGTAAAAAGAGAATAATACCAGTAGCGATCAAGACACCAAAGGGCAACACAGAATATTTGGAAAACAAAGAAAGGCGCAGTGGCTCTCTCGATGAAGAGCTCCCGAAATTCTGGCACAACCATTTCGAGCCTGAAAAAACAAAAACCAACAGATGAACGTAACGTTGTGCATGAAAACTTTAAAGCTTGGAGGTTGCCTCTTTATACATTGGTTACAAAATTAAACATTAATTTTCGGGATTTCTTAAGTAAATGATGCCTTGGGTGCAAGGAGGGCACATCTTGATTGCCATGTTTCAGAATTTTTGCTAGTATGTATTTAATTCAGTGTGAAGAGAGTGAAAGCACGCGTTTCAATGAAATTTGTACTAAACATTCTTCATGATTACACAGTATTTTACAGAAAAAATTGTAGAAAAATCTCCTATCAGATTCTTCTTGGAAACATTAATCAGCAATAGAGATCTTAGAACACCGCAACTGCAAAATACCGTCCTTGTACCCAGTGCCTCAATTTTTGTTGCCTTGTAACATTGAAAAAAGACTGAGGTATTTTTACTTTCCGGATTGAATGATGTTCAAAATGTAACAATTTTAAAGTTTATAAAATAATAAGGGCCCTTTTTGCTTTTAAATTTTTTTTTTCTTTTTTTTACCTAGCAGATGACTTTGCTAAAAGTCTAAGAATATGTATCTCTTTTGAAATATTTTAAAATATTTCAATAAATTTAATTATTTAATTTTACAAAAAATTAACCACAGTATCATATTGAAATTTTCAATAAATATTATTCATTGAATGAGGAAAATTCACAGAAAATTTCAAGAGTAGATATCTTTAAAAAAAAAATACAACATTGGTAGAGATTTAGTAAATCACAATTGGAGATATGAATTGTTCAACTTTAGCCATCTATAAGAGGTTTTCAGTGAAATTTGATTCTAATGACAAACTTTCTTACTCATTCTTTCCAAAAATGTCACCCGTTCTCTTGATTTCAACATCATCTTGAAGGCCTTTCCAATCAATGTACTGACTGAATTTTTTATGCACAGGAAACTGTAAATTCCTAAATTGCTTCTTTTCCTCATCATACAAGTATTTCGTTTTCTGGAATAGGAACCAAATTAGCTCTTCTTGTTTCTTTTCATCCTGTGAGCAACAAAACAAAACATTGATCAGAATAATTACTCAGATAGGAATGAATACGGATTTGAAGACATAGAAAGAGCTTACAAGAATTTCCAAAGGAGAAATGCCATTAAAATGTTGATCTGCCGTGTACAGGGTATAATATTACCGTATTACACCCGGTCTAACTTTTTCAAACTACTTTTAGCTAAGTTAAAACTGGTTCATTGAACTAATTTCACAAAAGTTTAAGCAATGTTCAAGCATCTAGACCAAACCTCATAATACAATGGTACACCATCTACTGGCACAGAAATGAACTTGCTCTTCAAGACACTAGCAAGAATTATTTATTAAAATCTCCAAATCTGGTTGGAAGAACAAGACAATACATCTTTCAATATTTCTGGGATTGACTTTCGCCAGCTTGCATTTACTTATTTTTACTCAACTACCTGATCAGAGATCCATTAGATTAGATAAAGCATACATTACCATGTATCGGTGCAAGGTGACCATTTCTGATGATCCATTGTTGGCTGTTGGAATAACTTTTGCGATTGTTGCTGATTTTATATTTTTAACCTGAGAAGAAATAAAAAAAATTCAAACATTGAACATCTGGTTGGAAAGTTTTGATGGAGACTTTGTCTTTCTTATTTGATTACTGGCAAACGACATTCAGTGGTTCAGCTGAACTGTAGTGACATAAATGGCCGGTGAGTGGAAGGCTTGTTAGTTGAGAGAAAAAATACATGCAGTACCACTCTAGTTGAGGCAACTTTCAGGCATAAATGTGTTATATCAATGGATATTAACTGAGGAAGAAGCTACTAACGAGCATTTTTTTACTTAAATATGAAGGAACGACAAAACCTTATAAGTGCAGTATTAGCAACTTACAGGACGATCTGTCCCACTTTCATTAATGCAATAAATACTACTAGGTTAGGTCTGTGAAATTTCATAATATTTCATTGGCTACTTTGATATAATTGTATCAGAAAATTGTGAAAAACTTGTCAAATATAGCTGCAATGATGAGTTCGACGAGTGTGTGCGACGATCTAACGCTCACGGAAAAATCAACTTATTCTAGCACTCAAGACTTTTATGCCTCAATGCCTTCTTGCGTTTCTGCTGGTTTAGCAAGAGAACCAGATGCACATTTCTCAATGTGCTATCAAATATTGCGGAATCTTATGTGCCACTTAGATAACCTCAAACAGAGCCCTCCTTCAGAGCCATGCTACCCTAAAGTTTAGAGCATTGGTTTTTCTGGAATGGGTGGGAATAAAAAATAACACTTACCCTATTACAGGCAAAAAAGCTCTGGACATGCACAGACCAATAACAGGCCAGACAACTGAGGATTTGGCAGACTGCTATCACAGCGATTCCGATGTATCCACTTTCCTGTAACTCTTCAAGACCGTAAACAAATAACCACAGATAAACCCACCCCGAGTACAAAAATATGAAAGGGAATATACAACCATGGAAATAGAGGGGACAGAGTTTGTGTAAACTGACTGATTGAACTAAATCATCAATGCTGGTGGACCCTGCCATGATAAAAACGCACTACTGATAAAAATTTCTGTTGACAAAAATTGACAGGCCCAAAACACCGGCAACAACCAACAAGGTCCACGACACCAAAAAGTATGTTGTCAAGTTTATGAGTTTTGGTCTACAATCATGGTCAGTGAGTTTGGTTTATATTTCCCACAATAAATTACGATAGAAGCGAATATTATTTTAAGAAATCATGTAACTTTAAACTAGTGCATCAACTCTGCATGTTTTGTCCGACTTAAGAGTATTAGAATGTTAACTCTTTTCTTAAGTTGATTTACACTTTTCGCTCTTCCGCGGATTCCTCTTCAATTTTTTTTTGCTATCTGACAACATAGGATTTCATACAGCGCTACCAATAATATTCGTAGTTTGCCGAATCTACCCTATGGATCTCGGCTGAGCGAATATTATGAATTACCTAAGAATACCTCCATCACACACGAAAAAGAATTTTTTTGATTAAATTCTCCAAGTAGATATTCTCTCAATAATAATAATTTCCAGATCCATGGTCCCTGATCGAAGGAATTGATTGTGCTCGTCAGATGAAAAAAGTGCAACTTTTTATTAGTTGGCAACTTGGGTAAAATAAGAGGTGGCGGTGAGAGGGGAGTGGGAGAGCTCGTGGCTGCGCGCTGGCGCTTTGCGCACCAAAATAAAAACACAACCGCGTGATTAGAAAATAAACGAAGCAGCAGTCATGTCGCGGGATAGTTGAGGTTAACTTGGCAATGATTCGGGTCTACCGTCGGAAATGCGATATTCGAGCGAGTTATTTCGGTCCCTAAAAACGGCTCTGCGTTAAATTTAGACTCAGTTGATCTCATTCGCGGGCAAATTTGGAACTTCTTGCGGGAACTATGGAGCAACATGGCCGACCTGGCGGACAAGATAGACGACTTAATTTGTAGTTTTGACGGTGCAGCGGATACCACGATGGATACGATTGCTATGTATTTGTTCGGGTGGATGGTGTTTAGTTTGTTCGTTTTGGCTATCGGCAAGTACATCTACGGCAACTTTGTAAGTGCTAAAGAGTCGAAAAGTGGCAGTGTTGTGACAGAGACGGTCATCTCCTCTTCCTTGGCTGCAGAGCCACTTATCAAACCATCACTCTTAATCCCTAAAGAAAAAAAAGCCAGTACCCCTGCCCCTGTCAGTAATGCTCCAAGCACAGGTGGTAAATATGTCCCTCCAACACCCCCTACTCGAAAGCGACTGGGCTCCAAGTCAGGTCGCAACTCAGTCCCTCCACTGGCTCGACCCAAATCAGCATCCAACCTTTTGCCACCTGTTGCGTTGGGCCCTGATAGTGAAAGTGTCAAGTGGGTAAATGAATTGTTTCTGTGGTTGTACTCGGATTTCCCTGCCGTTCAAGAGCTACTCACCGACTGGATTTTCTCCCTCAATGAGTTCATGAAGAAATCAGTCGAAGAGGTAAAATTTCACTTCTGTTTCCTAGACTAGTAAGTTTTGCTCTGAAATGAGTGCGAAGGGCCCAACTTATTAATTGAACAGTTGCGGCAAAAGTTACCTAAGCACTCTCAACTACTTCATGGACAAATCCATTTTTGACATTTTCCTTAAAAGAAGGTGTAGATTGAGAGAGGTACTGGTACATACCTGCTATGACTCAGGTCCAGATGTGCCAAAAGAATTTCCTCTTGTACAATGGCTCAGCTTGTGTTTCGATTACATATATTGTAAAAGCAACAATATGTCTTCTACTTCAAGCCATATGAATGAAATGACACTGAAAAAGAAAAGATGTCATCCTGAATATCCATCAAGACATAAAATTCTTTTTAATTTAAATCTTGGGCTGTAGGTATTATCTGAACTTTTTCTAAGTATTGCTGTTGCTATCAAAAGCATGATTGGTAATGCTAGGTCAGTAATGGAAAAAAAAAAAATAATAATTCAGTTAAAGGCATAAAAAATACAAATATAATAATTCCAGTGTTTAGAATTGAATATTATTTTCAGACAAGAGCTCTATTATTGCATACAAAAAGAAAATATAAACCAAAAATCATGCCCTACAATTGATTAAAAAAGCATCATATGTATTCTTCAAAATCAGGGAATACGATGTAAAGTTTTACCACCATATAGACTTTTTTTTTATGAAAGCACCTAGTTTTTGCCAGAAAAGTATCTACGAATAATAAGTTTTTTCCTCCCCCTCCCAAAATCTGAAAGAACATTCCGAAGTTTTGGTAGGATTCATACCGTACAAATTTTGCATTTTTTGTCAGTTTTCAACTCTCCTCTAAATTTCTCGAAATCGTCCGAACGTCTCTTAAGAATTGTAGTGAGTTGCAAGAACCGCAACCTGCTCTGCTGTAGAGAAATGCCGTATGTGCATTCGAATGTTGAAAAATCTCCTCTTGGAAAATATTTATTTTTGTAGACAGTCATGCGTATTTTTCCTCGCAATTCACTAACACTTTAGATCAAATCACGAACAAAATTCTGTAAGAAATTGAAAGAAAAATACATGCAAATTTCCCTACAAATTGGTGATTTATCAAGTCCACGTCTGAAGGTCCATACGGTGTTCTTTCTTAGCACGGCAGTGCTTGGGCGCATTCGCGCATTTGTGGAAGGGGGAGGGCGAAGCTCCGGAAATTTTAGACCATACATGTGAAGGGCTGATAGAACCATGCCCCCCCCCCCCCCCCGAATATTTGTCTAGCTATGCCTCCGAGCATTTCTACCAGCAGAATTTCAGTCTTGCAATTTNATTGAAAGAAAAATACATGCAAATTTCCCTACAAATTGGTGATTTATCAAGTCAACGTCTGAAGGTCCATACGGAGTTCTTTCTTAGCACGGCAGTGCTTGGGTGCATTCGCGCATTTGTGGAAGGGGGAGGGCGAAGCTCCGGAAAGTTTAGACCATACATATGAAGGGCTGATAGAACCATGCCCCCCCCCTCCCGAATATTTGTCTAGCTATGCCTCCGAGCATTTCTACCAGCAGAATTTCAGTCTTGCAATTTATCAGTGACAGGAGTAAAATGCACCAGAATGAAATAGGTACCTAATATGAGGTACCGAATCAATAATCACTCATATCACCATTAATTAAAAAAAAAAATAACGAAAAGCGTAGGAGAGAGTTGAGAGTAGGGAAGTCAAACGCCGGGTATGGGAACAAGAATTCCCGAGAACTTTCCCCGGGGACCGTGTATTTATGCATGGATGTGCGTTTCTCTATCAAAGTTTCGCGGAAAAGTAGGTTTTAGCTGGGAATTTCCGAGAACAGGAAAGCTTCCGTCAGATCCCTAGTTAAGAGGCTTTTTCAGTCGAATCGGGTCTAGGAATAGTGGGAGGGGGGGGGTGTCGGGTATTAATGACTCGGACGGAAATGTAGCGACACGCATGGGAAACAGTGGCAAGACGTGAACGATCGACTCTCGATTTTTTCCATTTAAAGCTACGGTAAATAATCGATTTTTAGGGTGTTCGATGCTATTACCCCGTTTATCGATCTTTTTCCATAGATTAAACGGCAGGTAAATCGATATATCGCAAAGCACACCACGCCACCGGTGGGAAAATTGCATTAGGCAGAGGAGATAAGCGGGAGGTTGCATTCGCGACGACGAGCATTATTCGCCGATAACTTCCGACTCCTTGCCCCCCTCCTTCCCCTCTCCTCTGTCTTGAAATACTATGAACTTTTACTTTTTACGCGCTCTAATTAGGTGATTTGCTCTGGCTTCAGTTATCTGTCCGCAGTGCGCATTCAAGGCTTTAGTTGCGAGGCTCGCTTTCAAATCGCTTTCTTCTCATTAAAATTCATTCAGGTTGAGCTCTTTTCTGCGATGTTGAATATTCGTTTAAGTCCGGAACTGGGAAGATTCGTTGTTATTTCACCATTTGGACGTATTTCTATCAAACGGAACTATGTGCATTTTGACGTGAGACCTGTTGTGCATTCATTCTTATGGGTCTCAGGGCTCATGTCTTAATGCCTTTACTTCCGTTTGATGGAAATACGTCCATTTGTCGTTGCCTTGGAGAAGGAACGTGGGCATGGAGATTTTTCTTCCAGCTAGAATATCTCAATAAATACTTCACGTTTTGCGCTCCATGGTCGAAAAGTGGAACCAGCGGTGCAAAAACTTCTCGGGGTGCAAAAAGGGGTGAACATGGCAATGCCCCGAAAACGGTGTTTTGAAAAGGGGAAGCTAGCAAAATCGCGATTATTTTGGGAAAACTGCGGTAAAAATCATGTGTTTTTCGTAAAATCGTGGTAGAAATCGCGTGCTTTGCTCCAAGAACCTAGCGCAAATTTATACGTTCGAGCCATAAAAAAGTTATCTTTTCGATTTTTTTTTCTAGGAAACGGGGGTTTAAAATGGGAAGGCCAATTTAAAGGATGGGAAGGCCAGAAACTTTCTGCACCTCTGAGTGGAACGCTTCAAAATAAAGTTTGAACCCCTTAAAAAGGCAGGGAAAATTCACTCAATGTTTATGTTTGAACGCCTTAATTGAAAAGTCAGGGAATTTTGGAATTGAAGAGAACTTTTCATTTTGTACTACACTGGAAAAAAAACACATTGGATGTAGAGTCCAGACTCTTAAAAACATCGACAAGAAAAAATACTCTTGATTCAATCAGATTTAAACTTAAATCAAGAACCAAGCCTCTTAATTTGAGCGGATTTCCTTTTGATTTAAGCTTAAATCTGATTTCGAATCAAGAGTATTTTTTCTTGTCAATTTTTTTAAGAGTCTGGACTCCAGATCCAATGTGTTTTTTTCCAGTGCGGTTTCAACATAACAAATGTTTGGCTCAAGCATCAGAGAATCGATTTTCCGCACTGCTATCAGCGCAAAAACCACATACTTTTTTAGGTTTTTTCGATTAATTAAATGAATCTTCACTGTTACGGAGTGATCGGATCATAACTTGTTCCGGCGTCGAAGTAAAAACAGCGCTCAATCAATGGAAAACGAGGAAAAGCGCTTAGCGTACACACGTGAAGACCGGTATTTTTACGTCCCATTAAAATTCACGACGAGCTGTGCGAATCAGCCGGAGCCGGCTCAAATCACCATTGTCCCAGCCATCGCGATAAGAAATTGCGCCCGACCGGAGAGGGGTGGGAGGGAGGAACTTTGACAGGCAAATTCACCGAGCTGTCAGGTTTGAAAATTTTCTCACCTTGACCTCGCGGATGCTATGAGGCGCCACTTACTCTGCCGTGCTCAAGAACGCCGTATGAACACTCAAGAGTTGCCAAATTTCCGCCGATAAAATATTTATTTTCGAAGGATAGTTATGAATATTCTTCCTTGAAATGGACGTAGTTCTACCAAACAGACCTATGTGGAAGTGAGAAATATGGGGTGTGCTCGTTAGTTCTCTTGCGTAAGAGTGAATGAGAATAATAAAGCGCCAGTGACGTCAACGGAGATGGAACCGCCGTCGTGCTGCTCTCGGTGGTCATCAACTCATGAGCCCTGTCCACAACGCTCTCTTGCCCTGCCCGCGGCTCATGAGTTCCGCACTCAGTTGCACATAGGTCTGTTTGATAGAATGCATTATCCCGCTTTTCCAATTCTTCAAAAGGAACCACGCCCACTTTTACATTGCTTCTTATGCAGATTTCTAGAGCACACCCCATATTTCTCACCGCCACATAGGTCTGTTTGGTAGAAATACGTCCAAATTTTCGAAAGTTTTAGGTGAAATTGCGAGCAAAATTATCTGAAAAATTGGAAGAAAAATATTCATAAGTTTACCAGGAAATTCGTGTTTTATCAATCGAAGTTTGGCAACACATGGAGGTTCATACGGCGTTTTTCCTTAGCACGGCAGTACTTTCCTCCTCCTCCTTCAACAGTCAGAGAAGTCAATTGATTCTAGCATAGGCACAAAGAAAAGAAATCTCTCCTGAGGAAACAAAATCATGTTGTCTAGTTGTAAGCTGGAGATCGCGAATCAATCGGAGGGCACGCGTATATCCGGGAAAATGAGGGATTTTTGTCAGCTTAATGTTGCTAAAAATCGGGAATTTTTTTTCTCTCGTCGCTCTTAGGTTATGTCAGATATTTTAAAACGTGCTGGTTCGTCTTCTGAAACAATAGACTTTGTATTCTGAGATCCGGAGAACAATCTTGTTTTCCCGAGAGGCGCAAAAGAGATTGAGAAGAGGTGCAAAAGATTGCTGGATTAACTCCTAGCATGGTGATACATTTTGTATGAATTAATTCAAACTTTCCGCTCATGGTAGAAATAATAATTTACTTGAGTTCAATTGCACGCTAAATGTCACTATCACACAGTATCACAGTCTCATCCGTATGAAAGTATGGCAACCTCAATCTTGTTGCTTTGGCTCAGCTGTAGTAAGCTGTAAGTACACACTTTGAACAACACAGGGTGGGAAAGAAACAATGCTCGGTTGAGTAATCTGCTAAAGCCGCTGTAGCGCGCGATTTGACTCGTGTAAAGTATATTGTTTTTTTGTGACCGGGCAATTCAAATTTCCCGCGACCACTATACAATAAAAACGTTAACATCTTAGCTAGGAGTTGATTTCAGTAGTTTTCATTGCGTAATTCGTGTTGTACGTGAGATTCTGGTGAAGAATCATGTATCGGAGTGCTTTCCTTCGTACCTTGTTTAATGGTCCATTCAATCTGAAAAAGCGAACATACATAGAGAATTTTCCTACCTTTTCTCAGCAAAAATATTTTATCGGGAGAAACGAGGCAACGTTGGAAAGCTCATTTGGTGTCCAAACACAGCATGGGCTTTTTATGCCTCATTACTAGATGGCGCGATTATTCTAACAGTAGTTTGAACAATCGCGCCGAATACAGTGCGGGCGGCGCGGCATTAAACGCATATTAACGCCTGCAAGACTGCAGGAATACTTCACGTATTGCGCCAAACAGTGCGGTCAGATTGACGCGCATATTAGCGCCTACAAGACTGTGAGAATTACTTCACACATTGCGCGCAAAGCACGGTGCGCGCTTTATTCGTTGTAATTTCTCGGTGTCAGGTCCACCACCAGCGGCACGGTGGAAAAAATATTCAACCAGTGAACAACGCGAGCCTGCAATACTAGAAGGATCGTGGAGATTTTGCTGTTTTTTGTTAATTTCCCCATCATTAAGTATCCCGTATTGCACCTCATCTACTGAGACGAATCAAAAATCAAAATATGCCATTTTTAGTTGCAAATTTTGTGTTCGAATTCGCCCTTTGACCCGTTTTACTGTGCGTCGTTGTCCTGAAATTTTGATGTTTTCGGTCTTGGAGATTTGTGTGTAAAGCTTGGGTGTCCGTCAAGGCAACGCCAATAATGATAATAATAATAAAAAAATAATAAAACAGAACAAACGAAACTATTGCGTCAAAATTTGTTTTATTTATTTGAAATTATTTAGGAAAATTTGCAGAAACCCTCTGGAAAAACTGTGTTTGGCTTTTTGAAAACATGCATAACACTGAAACATTATAGTGGCGCAAAACGTTAAACATTGAGTAAAAATATAACATAATGAAAGTGGTGCAAAACGTTTCATTCAGAGATAAATACGCTTTGCACCGTCGGCTTTTGAATCCATTTATTCCTTAAATAACTTGAACATAATTGTTCTACAATTTATTACGTGCAATTTTTCTTTAGTGGTTGGCGTAGCGGCCACATACCCCTAGTATTCGTATAATCTCACACCGTCAAAATGTGACTGAGTGTGGCGTCATGCTAGAGGGGTCTGCGGTATATCATCGCCCGAAAACACAAAGTTGTTTGCTTACATTTCAGTGGCGAAAGCTTCGTTCGGTCTCAAAGTAATGTTCAAAGCTGTCTAGAAGTGACAAGTATTTTTGTTTTGTTACAGCACGGCGTGGGCGTCGAGCTAGTGCGTGTTTTGACCGAAACGCATCCACCCAACATAACCAACGTCTTCTGCGAGTGTGCGCCGAACGACGATATCGTAAGTTCCTCTTTTTTACGCAGCACAATCTTCTTCATCAATAATAATTTTGCTTACCTGCTCATCTTCAAATCTGTCATTTTGGGGGAGAGACCCCCACACGGAGAAAAAAACTTCGCTCGTGGGACCCGAAGTTGAGGTCATATGGATCTCTGAAGTTTTCGGATCACGTATCTAAAAACTTGAGGTCCAGCTGCCGAAGTTCAGGTCAGACACCTGAAGTACTTCGATATATACCGAAGGGTTCGGGTCACACATCTGAAGCCGGTACATACTGAAGTGCCTCGATGTCTGACCCGAACTTCGGCAGCTCGACCTCAAGTTTTCGGATGCGTGATCAGAAAACTTCAGAGATCTATATGACCTCAACTTTGGGTCCCATGCCCGAAGTTTTTTTCTCCGTCCAGAAAAATAAGTTTCGCCTCATTGGTTTGTGGACACCAAGGGGACTGCATTTTGCAATTTGGAAGAACTCATTTATGAAACAACATACATTCCATTAGTTTCATTTTGCTCGGAGAAAAGAACCTCGCGTATGGGATTCGAAGTTGAGGTCATGAAGATCTCTGAAGTTTTCGGATCGCACTTCCGAAAACTTGAGGTTCATCTGCCGAAGTTCGGGTCAAACATCTGAAGTACTCCGGTATTTACAGAGGGGTTCGGTTCACACATCTGAAGTACTTCGGTATGTACTGAAGTACTTCAGATGTTTGACCCGAACTTCGGCAGGTGGACCTCAAGTTTTCGAATGTGCGAAGCGCGATCGGAAAACTTCAGAGATCCATATAACCTCAACTTCAGAGATCCATATAACCTCAACTTCAGGTCTCGCACACAAAGATTTTTTTCTCCGTGTGTAGATAGATTATTTTACGGATGAGCTATCGACAGCAGTCCTTACTACAAAATACAGTCCAAGAGATGAACGTAATTGAAAAACCTGGAATTGGATTGAAACTCAAATTTAGTAGGCGTGAGTTGCATCGTAGCTATTCGAGGTGCAAAGTCTTAGTCATGGCGGGTGGGGAGAGGGGGGTTAAGGTCGTAGATTCGCGCGGGGGCATTGAATTTTTAGCATATGGTGATGACATATAGTCGCTTCTCTGACGTAAAGGCGTATCTCTAGTTCCACATGAGACCTGGAAAGCGTGGAGCTATATGGAGAACAGAGCTCTTGTAGAAATCGAGTTACGCCCTTGCGTCAGAGGAGCGACGATATGATGAGCTTCATGAAGGTGAAGTATTGACGAAGTACGCGCGGCAACATTCACGCAAGTGTCTGCCGAGAGGAAAAGTAGCTTTCTGGAGGTTAGGAAGTGCAAGCGACGCCGCATCGGTGTTTGTCATCCGTCATCATTTATGCATGTCATCATCGTCATCCCGGCTCTCGCTTTTCATGCTGTATTTACAAGTGGTGAAGAGTGCTAGAGTCTTGAACTCTCTTATCTCAACAACTGAGGTTAAGTTTTGCATATGAGCATCATTGCAATACAGGGTGACCCAGGCCAGGGTTATACACTGGAAAAAAAAAACACACATTGGATCTAGAGTCTAGACTCTTAAAAACTTCGACAAGAAAAAATACTCTTGATTCAATCAGATTTAAGCTTAAATCAAGAACCAAACCTCTTAATTTGAGCGGATTTCCTTTTGATTTAAGCTTAAATCTGATTGAATCAAGAGTCCTTTTTCTTGTCAATGTTTTCAAGAGTCTGGATTGTTGATCCAATGTATTTTTTTTTACCAGTATACTGTTGGTCCTCAGGAGCGTATTCTATGGATCAAAATAAGATTTTTTCCTCTATGAAGTTCCCCTCCCACGATGAATTTACCCGCAGGGTTGCCAGTCAGGGAATACCGAGAAAACCTGGAAATGTTAGGGAATTTTTAAAAGTGAGGGAAAATGATGGAAGTGTCAGGGAAAAATTGTCAAGTCGCATTTATCTCCTTTCTAGAATGGGTTCGACGCTTTGAACAACAAATTTTATCCGAAAACTATTTCAAATTATGTATTTTTTACGATCTGGCATGTCTTCAATCGTCAGGGAAAGCTACCAAAATTCGTCAGGTCATTTTACTTCCTGAATTCCGTGGCAACCCTGTACCCATCGATTAATCAACACCTACCCCCATACAATCATGCCCTTGGTATGAAACGCTCTGTGAAAGGAGCCCTCGGCGATTTTAAAGTTCTGCACGGGGAGAAAATCGCGGCTCGTGGCTTCATACGGTTGGTCGCGCGGCACGCCCCATTTAACGCGGTGTCCGGCCTATAAAACACGGTGCCCTCATCGTTAATGAGTTGAAAAAATGATGAACTCGCCGGGACTGTCGGTGCACATAGCGCGGGCTTTGGCACCGGTGATGGATTGCCGGGCAAGGGGGCGGGAGGGGGTCGATCACCGGACCCCGGCCACCTGCCAAAATTCACCCGAGGGGCAAGCCAGGGGTGTCCGCTATCCGAAACCCTGCGTCGCGAAGAGCGCGAAAAAGTCGCGGAATTTACCGACCTTTAACTTGTATCGGATGCCTCGCTCGGCCAGGTTGGGGTTGCCGAATTATCCGCCCACGAGAAAAGTTTATAAAAATCGTAACCACAAGAGTGAAATAACCGAGCTGTTTGATCAGACAGCGGTGGTTATTAATCATTTTACCACCAGCTCAAAGTGTGGGCGGATATTCCAATCGGCAAGTCCATCGGTCAAACTTATTACTGAAAAACCCGGAACTCCGCTTAGAAGGACCGGATACAAACAGTCTATGTTTTTGCAGGATGATTTTCAATTGAAGACTTCGGCTGTTTCAAAGAGTAAAATTTTGGATCTTTATATTGAAAAAATAAAAAAAGGAAAGAAAGAAAGAGGAAGAAAAAGAAAAAGGTCGATGCAACTTTTCAACCTCGGTGGCTTATGCAAAATGAAGAGGGCGCTTCGGTTTTCATTCCGCCGCTAACGCGGTGAGCGGACGGATGAAAACTAGAGCGCCTGCAATTGCATCGATATGCAACACGGACATCCGCAGAGCACGAATAGTTGTATCAAGGCGCTACGACCGATACCGCGCCGAATGTTGCCATATTTCCATTTTCTCGTTTCAGCGATTGGGTCATCAGTTGAATCTTTGATAGGAGAAAATGTGTGGCTCCGTAAGCTCAAACCTAATACTAATATTAGTCCCCCCCTCCCTAAATGCGACTTGGTTTTTGTCCAGTTTACACTGTCCATTTTTGCGCCCTGGTAAACATTGGCAGTAGAATGTGTGTTCCAAAATACCATAGACCTAAAGCCGGCTGTAAGATTTCCAATAGCTTCTGTAGCCGGCTGTACAATTTCTTGTAGCCTTTTATAGCCGATGACGATTAAGCAACAGCCAGACGATAAAGTTTATGCTAAACGTTACTAAATACGGATACTAGGACTTAGTTAGTTTTTGGACCACCGCTCTCTTTTTGTGCCGTAGTATCTTGATTTATTTTGCGAGGAAAGCTCCGTACTTTTGAAGGATGCCTGTCATTCTTAACATGTTGGAGCGCTTTCAATTTCTTATGATACTGTGTAATACCTCTGGTGAGAAAAAATAGTTGCTTCAGACGCCGTGGCACGCTGTGGCGCGGCGCGGCGGGCGAGCAGAGAGCGCGGAACGCGCATTAGCGCCTACAAACCTAACAGGGATACTTCACGCATTGCGCAATGCGTGAAGTATCCCTGTTAGGTTTGTAGGCGCCAGTGCGTCTCCGCTCCGCTTTGTGTTAGCTCTAATATTTAATCTCGCGGAGTCAGCGTTTTTCAACTTATGATTTTGAAATGTTTGCACACTCTGTATGGATTATTTTTATTTTAATTGACGAAAAAAATATGTTTTAAAGGAAAATATAATGTGTGTTTTGTAAATATTAAGGTAGTTCCGTATCAAACTTAATGATTTCCAAAGCACACGAATTTCTTCACAATTTCTTGTAGCTTTTTATAGCCAATGGCGATAAAGTGTAAAGCCAGCGATAGGAACTATAGCCCGACTGTATACTTTTTTATAGCTTCGTTTAGCCCGGCTTTATGATTTGCTCCGCTTTCTACAGCCAGCTATATGATTTTCAACAGCCTTCTTTAGTCGGCTATAAGAACTCCTATATGGTATTTTGAAACGCAGCTCCTATCGCCAATTTTTACTAGGCCGTATATTTGAAGTATTGATTCACCTACAAAGATGCATTCAAATTAATACGCAATTTTTCCTACGATTTGACAACAGCTAACTTTTTTCAGTCGTCACCTTGTCTGTCGTTGTATCAAATTGATCTGACGAGATTCCAATCGTGAGATCGGAATAACAGTATTGCGAGCGCGAGCGAGCGTAGTAGTGAACTTAATCTAACTTTAATTGCAAATACAAAGTTCGATCGTCCTGTCTCTCATCGAAAGTAATGTTATCGATATTTCAAGGAATTTCTAATAAAAAGTCCCGTAATGTCTCAAGAATTTTTCCAGTAGGTAAGGGGTTGAGCGAAGATTCGATAGGATGCAAAAATATATTTTTGATGAAATCCCCCTAAAATGACTCTTAAGTTGTAAAACAAGATTAATAAAATAAGATTACTATACTACAGCTCAGAAAGTTAATATTACATCTTAAACAAAAAATTCCGAAAACAGGCCCTTTTGGAGCAAGTGAAACTTAGATGCCAATAAATCACGAGCCACTAATGGATTTTGCTAGCTCTTTTGTCAGTTTCAGAAATGTGTCATTTCAAACGTTCATTATATCGTTAATTATGCAAGTTATGCGGCTTGAAATTTTCACTTTATATGTTCCTAAGAGCGTGCAGCATCGAAAACCAAAAATCAATACTCTTTAACCTACAAAAAATTTTGAATTTGTATTGTAATGACCCTTTTGCATGATTTCATCACATTTATTTCGTCGTTTGCTACCGTGCACTGGGATAGGGGCCAAAAAGTTCAGTGTGGAACAAATCCAAATTGAGTTAGTTCCAAATTTGGCTT